AGTCCACCCCTTCTCATCAACCACCAACCCATGCTCCCTAACCCCCTCCCAATCTCCAGGATTATAGAAATCCTGCTCCCCAACGGTCCTCCCACTCTTCGTCCAATCCCCCCTCTCAACCTCCTTCTCAATCTGGCTCGTCAAATCCCAAAAATCGCGATCATGCTCACTAAACACACAATGCGCCAACTCATGACACAGCGTCTTCCGTATCGTGCGATAATCCCTATACCCATCATACGCATCCGTCCTCAACCTCAACTCAATCACCTCGCCCTTATTCCGATTCAACCCCAACGTCCTCGACTCGCTAGTCGTATGCTCAGCGGGATCCATCTCCGTCAACAGCGGTACAGAGAACTTATGCTTCTGCATCGCGGACTTAATCCCGGGGTCGTCGCGGAGGCGCTCAAGGAACGTCAATGATTTAGAAGGGTTCGGAAGATGCGGGAGCGGAACACATCGGTGGAAAGTGTAGGAGCCGCTGCCGTTGGCGCTGTTGGAGAGAGTGTGGATTTTGCTAACGTTAGAGGAAGTGCTGGAGGGAGTGGGTTTCGCGGCGTAGAGACGGTGCGCGCGATCGCGGGCTTCAGCGCGGGCTTTGAGTTCGGTGCCGTGCGTGTTGAGTGATTCGATGTCTCGTGGGGGTGTGCCCAGCAGGGTGAGTTTGAATTTTGGGGAGGTGAGGGGGAGGAGGTCCTGGAGGGGGGTTGGTGGGAATGGGTGTTTGAGCATTCCTGGGGAGGGGGAGATGAGGAGCTTTTGGTGGGTTGGAGGGATTTGTAATGTTGAGGAGATGAGCTCTGTTAGGTCTGTGAGGGTGCTGGTTGTTGGGAGGGTGAGGGGGTGGGAGGCGTTGCGGTGGTGGATTTGCAGGGTTAGGGTGTCCCCTGTTGGGGTTTCGGAGTCGGTCATGGTTGCTGGTGGATGTGTGAGGGTGGCACGTGAAATGAGGGGCTGTTTATGGGGGAGGAAGGTGAGTTATATACAGAGAGGAAGAAGTGGTGATGATCTTCGATGGAGTTCGATCTTGTTTTGTCAGCGATAAGGCGATAAGCGTGGCTTGCTGTATCACGTGGTGATAGGGTGATAAGAACTAGTCGATTAAGGTTAGTATGGTTTCACTTTTTTTACTGGTATGTAATGGTAGGGCCCCTGGTACTGGTGCCTCAGGTAGCGAGCAGATCGTCGCTGCTTAATTTCGGCTGGTCCGCGTCTGTTTGGCGTTGAGAGATGCTGTTTGGGATTGATCACCCCGCGGGTCATACTTTGTTACAATTGTACTACGCCTGATTTAGCTCATGCAGATTGTTGCAGAAAGATTGTATGACCACTAGATTGACTCTGCAGAACGCTGACTGTCCATAACACCGCCTGTACCCTGAACTCCGATCCATATATGATTACATACCAAGAATGACCATGACACCATCCGATGATGCACTTATGACAGTCGATAAAAAGAAAACAATGCAGCCAGATTGGCTGGCTCACTCATACTGCCGGTCATCCATTGCGGCCGGCACATCCAGCACCCACTCTTCGAGTTCTGGGTCCCACGTATGACTATCACATGTCAGCATGAGGCACCTCTCGGCTAAAGCGATTCACTCACTTGTGAAATTGCGTTTGAGTCAACGCTTTCTTTGTATACTCCTCTGTTAGCACCCCATCGTACCTGAAGGGCACTTTGGCTGGCACGCCCTCAAACGTCGATCTCCGCAGTGGGTATATATCGTGTGTCTGATATTTGTGCCCATTTTTGCACTCCCATTCTGTGGGCTTCTCGGCCGTCAGTCGACTCAGCCCTGTGATATCGATGTATAGCCCCGTGGTGATGTCGATCCAGCGCGCATCGATTATATTCAGTCCCATGCCGCGATCACGTTGACGCGCCCACGGGTTTATATCCAGGAGGTACCGGCGCTCGACGTCGGGGTCGGTAGTGGTATATTGTACAACAGTCTGGTTGAAGTGGTCGGCGAGATGGAATAATGTGGTATCCATGACTTGAGTGTCGATGTCCCAGTCCCAGGGCATGATCTGAAAAGAAAAAGGGTTAGACCGGCCGAAACTAACCATGTCTGGTGCATCAGGAATAGCCCACCTTGCCATTCCACCACCATCCCAGCAATGTTCCATGCGCAATCCATGTTTCCAGTCCATTATCCTCGAAGAAGTTCAGATATGCTCGGATCATATGTGTCAATGTGATGGATCGCTCCGCGTCCGGAACCGGCTCCCCCTGGAAAAACCGCGAGTCATAGTGACCCAGGGTATCGTCACGACCTGGCTCATGGAAATATTTGAACTCGTCTGACTTGTTCAGCCCGTACTTCTGCCACAGCGGGTCGGGGTCATTGCGGTTGACAAAACTGCCGTGATTGCTCTGCTCTGCGGGGCTGGGGCGTGCTGTGGCCACCGCTGACCAGATCGCGCAGGTGAGGACGGCCAGCAGGCCCCGAGGGTTCATGTCCGGCGGCAGATGTCAACGTTGTATGTTTGAAAAAGGGTTGTTGAATAGTTCGGGAGGTCTATCATGCCCCTGCTTGCATTCTGGACCAGGTAGGCGGTGGATGGGTGAGTATGAGCAGTGATCCGGTCGATGCGGGGGATCAGAATAGGGCTGCCAAGTCGTTGCTCGAATGCGTTATAGCCGCATACGTCGAACCATTCAAATCGCGTGGTGCATCGGACGAGAGAAAAGAAGGCCACCGGTGCTAATAATGAGAGCAGCCAAGTAAGTACCAGCCCGACTCGACACGCCAATCAGGCATGGACAAGACAGGGGGGGAAGATAGACTGAGGGGGGGAGATACAAGGGAAAGGGAAAGGAAGATCAGGAGAGAAAAGCACGGGGAACGGTTCTTGATAGTCCGACTAGACAGGCTTCGAGAACCACACGAGCCCGCAAATCAAACCGAAAGATCCGACGAATCCGTTCAGTTCAACACGACGGGAAAAAGCTTTGCACCTTTGGGGGACAGAGGGAAGTTTGGTTAAGGCCGAGGAAGAATAGAATCAAATACGACTCCGTACGAACGGGGTGACTTCAACCAGCCAAGCGGGGCGACATTTGGGAGATCCACTGAGGACCCTCATTAGATAGATTATTACATTGGCGCGTTGGGAATAGGCCTTGGACCCTTTCCGTGGATGACGCTCTGCAGGTCCGGATCGGCAAGGATAACAGCCATGACGACAGGGAGCTGGTTGGCTACTCTGAGAACGCCTGGCATGCCAATGCTCCATTCCCATGAGGACAAAGAGAGATACTTTGCGATACTTTGTAGGGAAAAGTGTCAGGATGGATGGTCTCCTCTCTTCGGAATCACGAGAGTAATAGTTCCTAGGCAACCATTAAAGAATCCACCGAAAGGAGACGGCGCTCCATAATTGATTGATTGATTTTGGCCGAATTCAGGGCAGAAAGAGAAAAAAGAATCGGGTCTCGCGTGCCATCTTTCCCGACGTGTCTTTGGCTCTGTTTTTTTCTCCCTCCCTCCCCACTTATCTATTTCCCAGGGATGTTACGGCTTACATACGGGAACGCCTTCCGTACGATCCGCTTACCGTATCACCAACCAGCATCAGCAAAGCAGCCAACTGATTCATATGATTCATAGGGCTACACGCACCTCTCGGTCTCCCTGCTCGTAATGTCCATTGTGTCTAGTCAGCACAGCACAGATGCAGGATGGCTTTGGCTAATTATCCGTGCCACGGTGACACCATCTTGAAAATCTCCCCATTGTGCTTTAGTGTCCGTGTCCCTCCTTTCCCTGCAAGCAGGGCAACTCGGAGGTCGGACGGCTGGTTCTCAGACGATGACCTGCAGTGTTGAAACCCCCCTAAAGCACAAGGGGGGCACTGTGTTGGCACGAATCATACATGGGATTCCGCTCCTACTATGAGGCCAAGACAGAAGGATGCTGAGGCCAAGAGACATATTAATAATGTCCAGCGAGATCGATACATCATGCACCTCGTAGGGCAGACAAATGCCCTACAAGTACGCCCTGCATTATCGACCAAACAACTACTGGATACACAACCATCGAGGCTTAGAATCCTTGCACTGACTCGAGTCAGGTCCTTCTATATACATGCTTACGAGCTTACCTACCTCCAACTTCTACCATCTATCCGCCCCCAGATTAAAATAATTAATCAAAGATGGAATGAGGACTAGACTCCGCTACCGGGTATATGTCAGAATCTTATCGCGCACCTGAAACAGTCGGGTTGCTTCCAGAGAGTTACAAAAGTCGATGGTCAGTGGTAAGTAGTACATAGTACCACCATCGTACAGCATCCATACACCCACCCCTAACTCCCAATACCGTAACGAACTGCCCCTTATTCGGAAGAACCAAGGTTGCTTTCCACCATCAGGTTAGGTTAACCCCCCTGGACTTTCTGACTAGTCCGTCCCCACAGAAATGCTACTTTAGTCTTGATGGCCGAACCCAAGCAGTGCCAATTCGCTCATTCTCTCCGACGCATCTGAGCGGAAGGGAACAGGACCCTGCCAATCTCGGAGCTATCAATTTCCTCCGTGCAGGTATTGGTTGTTGCCTATCTACAAGGGGAGAAAGAGGAGCGGAGTGTTCACCACTTCTAATTTGACCGACCTATCAGGTAGTCAACTAATTTGGTTGCTGAGACTCCGTTTAAAAGAAATATGCCAAGGACCATCTAATAGTTGGACAGGTCTGTCTGCCAAGGGGTGGGAGTAATTGGTGGCATCCGGTGATTCCGCTCGTACTCGTTTTGCATGGATTGTTTTGGGGGGGGATCAGACCTTCATGCCGGTCACTTGACTAGTCTGTTTTCGGCCATACCAAGCCTACTGCTATGTCACATGATAATACTCAGGGTCTTGGATTTCTTGGTTCGGTAATTTCATAAATTTTCCCGCTTACCAATGTTTTATGTTCATTGATTACTGCATAGCCGAACTATGTGCAAACCAGGCATATACACTCTCAACTTCCAGTTCATGCTTCCCCCATCAGCGACTGTAACCTGGCCATCTGCCAATATTCACCCCCGAGTTGCATCAATTTCTTGTGGCTGCCTCTTTCTACAATCTGCCCATGCTTGAATACTAGGATCTCATCAGCATCGACAATCGTCTTTAGTCGATGGGCGATAGCGATGACTGTTCGCCCTTTCATCACGCGCTGAATTGTCCTCTGGACTAGTTCCTCTGAGGCGGAGTCCAGGGCAGAGGTTGCCTCATCAAGTAGACTGAGAAGTGTCAATTCCGCTGATTAAGGGTTTTGCTATTGTAAGGGGCACTTACAGAATCTTTGGTCGACATAGAAGCGCCTTCGCGATGGCCATGCGCTGGCGCTGCCCCCCAGACAGGGTCGATCCGTTTGCCATGATGGGGGTGCTTAAACCTTGGGGGAGTGACAGCTGACACAAGAAACGAAATAGTCAGACTTTGTAACAAGGGGATAGGAAGAGTTGAGAACGCCTACCACAAAATCGGCTAACCCAACGTCCTTTAGAGCGGCCAAAATCTCGGCGTCTGATACAACCAGCTCACCACTCTGCAGGCAGTCGCGCAGGTCTTCACCAATCAGACAAGGGTTTTGGTCGACCAGTGCTAGATACCCTCGATAACTGTCGAGGTCATAGTGTTCAATGGACATATCATCTAGTGCTATTGCGCCAGATTCGCTGGGATAGAAGCGCTCCAGCAAATTTATCACTGAACTCTTCCCGCTGCCTGTAGCACCAACAAGAGCAATAAAGGCACCCGCTGGCACGTCGAGACTGACATCGTTCAGGGCTATTCGAGATTGATGGCTTGGATATTTGAAATTGACGCGTCGCAGCGAAACGTTTGCGGTGATACTTGGCACGTCAGCGTTGCCATTATTCAATTTCCTGTAGGCGGCTGACGATATTCCGGCTTGCATCAGCTTCTCCAGTCGAGCAGCAGCAGCTTTAGAGCCTACAATGTCAGGAGCATGTGCTAAAAGCACGGACGCAGACTGAGATCCCCACATTGTGGCTGCAAAGCAGATGAAGAATTGCTGTACAGTGTATTCGCCAGTCGCGATTAGGTGTGTGCCGCCGTACCAGAAAACGAAAGCAATGCTCATCACGCGGAGGGAAGTGGTGCACGCATACGTCGCGGCAAACATGAACCAGTATTTGCCTTGGCTGTCTCGACGACTTTCACTTTCGAACGATGCGCTGATGGTCCTCTGCAGACCGAGGACTGTTACAGTCTTGATGGCAGAAAGAGCTTCATGTGCAATGGCCACAGCACCGGTATCGCGCGTGATGTGTTTTTGTACCTGCGCCACTGCATGGTATTGCATGAAGCTGGAAAAAACTACTAATGGGACCGTTGCTGTCGCAGCAAGACCAAGCTTCCACCCAAAGCTACACCCGATGGTAATTCCTGTTGCAAGCATGACAATGCTTTCAGCCACAAGCCCCAGTGATGTTCCCGAAATGCCAGTGATTTGCCGAGGTCCAGATGAAAGGAAGCTGACCAATGCACCAATCGAGTTGTCTTTGTCCTGGAAGAAGGAGAGATCGTTCACAATTAAATGCTTAAACAACTGCGAGCGGGCTCGGAGAACCAACTGTGATGCGGACACGGCAAAGCAATATCCACGTACAGTATAAACCACAAATGCGATAATACCGAGGGTAAGATACATAGAGGCCCAAAATTGAACATTATGTCCACCGGTACTGAGGTTAGGATTGATCATTGACATGATCCCGTTACCGAAGAAGATCGCTTGAACAGGATAGGTTATTCCAGCCAAAACGCTGAAGCTCACACCAGCGACTGTATAGGGCAACTCTGGTCTATTGAAGCTCCAAATTCGTCTGGCACTGCTACTGAACGACCGTACTGCTAATGGGCCGTCGTCTGGTATATCCACCATATCAAAATTGACCAAGGTATCTTTGGAATATTCATCGTGAGCGCCCAACGAATGGGGCCTTTGGCTGATAAGCCTGTCGTCCTCTGATCGGTGGGGTGTTTCAAGCGCCTGATATCTCACTAATTCTCGGTACATCGCAGATGTACTCAACAACTCTGAATGGGAGCCCTGACCTAGGATTTGACCGTCCTTCATGACGATGATTTTATCGGCATTCTGGACTGTCGACAGCCGATGGGCTATTATTAGGGTAGTTCGTCCTGAGGCGGCGTTGTCCAGCGCCTCCTGCACTGCTTTTTCACACCGACTGTCAAGTGCAGCTGTGGCCTCATCCAGCAGTAATATTGCTGGTTGAGATATGATTGCGCGGGCAATAGCAAGACGCTGCTTCTGGCCCCCTGAGAGATTCGATCCATGTGCCCCAACTATGGTGTTGTACTCTTCGGGCAGACTCGCAACGAAGTCGTGAATTTGGGCAACTTTGGCCGCCTCGATTACCAGCTTTCGTATCGCGTTTGCGTCCATATCCTGCATCACAAAATCAGTATAAGAGACTGAGAGGCAGAAAATGATAGTTTTGAAGCACCTCAGCTGCAGCTTCGGGAAGCCCATATGCGATGTTATCGAGTATTGATGCACGGAACAAAGTCACGTCTTGACCGACATACCCAATCTGCGATCTTAGCCACGAGACATTCATAGCATCAATTGGCTCGCCATCCAGCATGATCCGACCGCTGTGAGGATGGTACAGTCGTTCCAGAAGGGCAAACACGGTTGATTTCCCAGACCCGGATGGTCCCACAAACGCTACAGTATGCCCGGCAGGCACAACGAAATTGACATCTTTTAGAACCTCCCCTTCAGGTCGCGAAGGATATGTAAAGTGTACACCTTCGAAGCTAATCTCCCCCCTGACCCCACTGTGCATCACCCCGGTACATGCAGAAGGATCTATGGGTGACTTCCGCTCAATGACAGAAAAGACACGGCTGGCGGCCGCGTTGGCCTGGGTGATGTTGACAATGGCTGGCAATGCTTGGCTGAGCATTCCACCCGCCACGGCCATTGCGTACATGATAGTCAGAACTTCCGGAATAGTGCAACGCCCTTGGCGGAGAAGATGATTAGCCTGCCAGAACTTGGCAATCGTCAGCAGGTACTCATCTGGCTGTCGCAAGAAATCGTAAGGAGACAATATACATACACCCAACCCATTAGCCCAGTGCAAAAGCATAAAAGATCCCGCAACCAGCATTCCAAAAATGAAGCGCTCCCGAAAGTCCAATTGCGCTGGACGTCGCAACGCCTCGTAATACCTTTTACCATATCTTTCCTGGCTCCGATAAGCAATGACACTTCTCATAGCGCTGAGCACTTCCTGGGCCAGATTATCTGCTCTAACGTACTGAGCCAGACCCATTCGCTGTGTTACACTCAGAAAACCCCCCATCACCCCAATAATCGTAAGCAAAGCAAATGGCTGAGATAACATAATGCCCGCGAAGCGCGCATTCTGAACAAACGCACAAACAGCAGCCACCACAAAGCCAGACAGCCCAGAAAGAAGCTCACCAACTTTCTGCGAGATACCCGCCTGAATCAACTTCATATCCTGATCCATATGAGACGTCAGCTCGCCCACCCCGACTACATCGAAATAAGCCATGTTCTGCCGCAAAGCCGAAGCGAGGTATTTCTGCTGAAGCTTTCGCGAGAGTTTCTCTCCAATGATATTGAAGCCAAACATGCTGATGGCGGTTGTGACTAGAGACCCGATTGCTGCGTTGCTGCGTCAGATCGTACGTAGCAGGATAACCAACTAAACTGGTTCAAATCGACATGGATTCCTACCAATATATACCAAGTAGAGAGCAAGATGTTGAACGCGATCTCGGATTTCGTCCGGTGTATTACTGTCTCCGGTGATGAACTCGCGCGCAAAGTTCCCGTATACGACGGTTACTAGAGGCATTGCTGCGCCCGCGGCTATGGCGCAGCATGCCGATAAGAATAGCAGACATAGCTGGGATGCGTTGGCGCTTCGGTAAATGGTGAGGATGTTGGCGGTGCTCTGCTCTATATGGATTTGAGACTGGATACTAATTTCTGTCGTATGTGTTGTGTCAGCAGTGGGCTGGATAACCTTGAGGGGGATCCCCTGGTTGGACATGCTTATGCGTAAGTAGCTTGGTCCCCCCAAGGGCGCTGGAATCAAAGGCCGAATGGTGTCCGGGCGATCGGGTCCATTTATTTATAGGGACTAAAGTAAGATGTGATGGTTACGTGGGTCGCGGCATTCACATACCTGAACAAGGTTGGTAAAGACCATTAGTGTTATTTATCATTGTGGACCTTGGAATTTGCTAACCCACTAAAACTGCCAGATATTCCTGTTTGTTTCCAGTGGCTGAATAACTTCATATGATTAATCTGAAAGGAAGTAATAGTGCCCGAACCCACTGTGTCAGAGTAGTTCTCCGGAGTAGTTCTTTCCAGATTTAGGCCCACTAGCCTCAGGCTCATGGTACTAGCTAATTCGCTCGACACACATCATTCTCGCTCATCCAGCTTCAGCAACGCTACCAACTGTCTATGGATAACTGCCCACGCACCCGGTCGAGTCTTGAACAAAAGCCAATAGTCCCCCGCAGCATCCTTCCCAATAATCCTGACTACATTCCGGGTTGGGTATCCCTGACAGGTCTCGATGTCGTTGATATACGACGGTCTACCTAGAGCATGGGGCCGTTCGCTCAGAGGCACTCCCGGGGCCACCACGGCAGCCGAAAAGTCCAGCTCGAAATACCTGGCCTTGTGCTGATTCGTGCATGCCATGAATAGCAGATTGGCATCTCCGACAACTGGTGGTGTCCGAGTGAACGATGCCCTCTGCATGGATGTCATGGCTTGAACTTGTTCCTTTGTCCGGTGCTCCATGAGGGCTTTACGGTTTTTGGACGCCACATATGCGAGGCTAGCATCCTGAATCACCTGGCCTGCAACTAGCAGCGTGTAGGAATAGAAGAAGGCGTTACCAATGAATCCCGCGCCGCCAGTTGGGAACCACTCCTCAAAAAGCGCCCATACGTTGAAGACGTTCATGACCATGATGGTTCGATTTGGCGCCGGATTCAGAGCGGTGACAATAGTCCTCACCCACCACGCCATTACGACATCACCTTCACTCAGAAAGGGCGCCTTGTCCTCATTATCGGGGCTCATCGCAGCAAGCTCCTTCCGAGCGGATTCCTTCAGCCGTTCCACGCATCGTCTTGGTAGGCGAATGGGATGTTCCTCTTCTTGTTGATACCAGAACAGCTCCCATAGATACCGCAGCCCAAATATCACAAGGCTAAGTCCGCTAAGAGCGCGGTCAAAATTACTATAGGGCTTCACCGGGGCCTCTGTACCCAGTGTGCGCAGAGGATCATGCTCGAAAGGGATGAAAGGCGGTACTTCGTCTTCTCGACCCCGCAGAACAGCTATCCACGCGTTGAAGAATGTTGACCTCGCAATAGCATCGAACAGAGTATGAACATAGCTGACCGTCACAAGAGTCGCGTCCTGAAAGACAGAAACATGGATATGAAGTTGTGGCCGGTCGGTGTATATCCAGTCAGCCAGCTTACGAGGACTATCCGCATGGCGGACAATGGGAGCGAAGACAGCAGGCGAAGGCGAGAGAACCGATTGATCTTGGCCTGATTTTGGTAACTGTCTACCGAGTTCGTGCTCGGAGATGCGCAACCCATACTCGGTGGTGGTAAAGTTGTATGCGGGCCGCGCTTTGGTATACTCAGCGGGAATGTGGTATTCAAGGCGGTTTTGATCCTGAATTTGACAGAGCGTTAGCCTCATCAATCCTGACAGGAACTGGTTTGATGGATGGAGGGATCTTCATAACCATACATTCAGGCGCAGACGAGCTCCCAACTGGCTCCAGTCTCCAATCTCTGTCAAACGAGCCAAAGCAGCATCGAGCTTGCAGGCGTCCAGTACGTCGTCAAATCGGAAGGTGAAATCATGGCAGAGACGACGGAGATAGTCCAGGTCATCCCAGTACCGCAGAGGGACAACCTTGTCAGTGGGCACAGTTGCTGGCCGCGAACGAGTGAAGTTTGAAAAGAAATCCATCAGGATGTTGGGATATCGTGCAAGGCGAGAGCCAAAGAAGGAAGGGGGAGGGGGATGCAGAGAAAGAGAGGCATGTCAAGGACCCCCGGTCTCTCTACTTTTCTGCACGACCTGTCATTTTCATCTTCATCTTCATCTTCGTCTCCATTACGGCAGTCACACAAGGAGGGCAGGAGCAATGCTCGGAGTTCCACAGGAGGGGAAGCAAACACAACTCCATGCGCTCCGTCCCGTTCTCAATTATCCAATTGATCGATTTTGATCCACTTGAAGGAAGGGAGAATGGATGTGACGAAAAGATACTAACTTCATCCAGCACAATCATGCACCTCAGCCGCACGCCCCACTCGCCCCCGCAGAGCAGTATCCTCCTCGGAGGTCGAGATACTTGCACGCCCGCTGAAGAAAGCCCGTCCCTATCTACAATGTCTCACAGCATACCTACCGAAAAAAAAAAAAACCAATGATACTCAGGAAGTGCCTCACGATTCAAATCTGATCCATCCGTCGCAGTCCCACCACTACCTAACCGTATCGAGAAGGGAAGATCTCTTTTTTCAGCCCTTCAGCCCTGCTAGCTCAAGTGCTAGTAGCCCATACTACGACTCACCCACCAAATCCATCCGACTAAACAGACCCCCTTGTGATCCCGACCAAGGAAACGGAGTACTAGTATGCAGATACTATCCACATCCACTAGACTGACTTCCAAGTTTTAGTCTGCTCAGTCAAATCCCGATTTGAATCCGAGGAAACAGACAAACAAACCAGTATTTGTGCTACGTGTCTCATGCAGAATGTCTCGAGGTTCCTTGTTTTTCATCGAGTCATCTGCTACCAATCCACCCCGGGACTAATATCCGATCGCTTGAGTAGTAAGGGGCAATTACCGAGTGAGTATATACCAGTAATATCTCGCTGCATTATGCCGACTCAGCTCGGCTAATTAATTAAACAAAATCAAACTGGTGGCAGCTATGGCTGGGCCTTTGTCTCGCTTTTTTTTTCAAGAATGTCTCATTCATTCATGCATGATACGATAGGATCCGTCACAAATCTGTGAGTATTATCTTGATCCGGTGTTCAAGATTCTTGGTCATGATGCAGTGTTTCTGCATGTGCGTTCAAAAAGTCTATTTCTTGAAGAATGGTTACGGTGATGAAAGTTTATCTTAGGTTTGGACACATGTCGGCATTGCTGGAAATAAAAGAGAAAGAAACTTCCTACAGTTTAGCTAATTGCTTTTAAGGTTGCGCTGCTACCATGCTGCAAGGACGTACCGGGAAATGATCGAAGTATAAAAGTGTATTACAGAGATGTAAATATTGTTCATGATCGCGGCTGGTAAGCAATCAACTTGAATTCATAATCAATATATCGCCACAAAGTCTCTGTTTACATGGTCTTTACAGGATTTCTCAGAAACACAGACGCATGTGATCGATCGGGTGGCTGCGATCACCTCCTTGCGGCATCTTCAGGCGCGAACCCGACTCGCCTGCAAATAGCGCCCAAGGGCCATCATGGGGAAATAATGCCGATAGTAGTCGTAGCCCAGATAGAAATGATTGGGAAATCCTGTTCCCGTGTAGACCGCTTCGGGCCAGGAAGCTCCAATGCCCTTTTCTGGCTGTTGTGAACATACCAGCCACCGGATCCCACGCTCAATAGCAGGGTCAGTGAGGGGAAGGTGGGCCAATAGTCCCATTAGCGCCCATGCAGTCTGTGATGGAGTTGATTGCTGCTGCTGCTGAGTGCCTGTTGTTCGGTAGGATAGTAGCGGTTCGCCCCAACCGCCGTCGTCATTTTGTTTGGATTTTAGCCATTGTAGCGCCGGCGCCACTAGCCCACTGACTCGCTTGTCATCTTCCATGTAGTAAGCCAATCCGCACAGGGCATGAGACGTCCCATAGACGTAGTTACACCCCCATCGTCCGAACCAGGCGCCGTTGGCCTCTTGTGTGGATGCAAGGTATGTGATCCCCCGAGTGCATGCATGCCGTAACATTGGAGAAAGGACGGGCCTTTTCGATTCACGTCTCATCATCAAGCCGAAGGCTTCCAGAATCCGCCCAGTGATATCGGCACAGGAGGTATCGCACAAGCTGTCCATATCACTGAAGGGAATTTTGTTGAGGAACAGCTTATCATTTTCCACGTCAAAGGCAGCCCAGCCGCCATCAGGGTTCTGCATGCCGAGGATCCATGTTGCAGCGGCAATTACAGACTCCGAAGCGACAGATTGGGGATTCTGCTTCAGCTGAGCCAGAATGATGGCCGCGGTGTCGTCCACATCGGGATAGTGGCTATTCTCGTACTCGAAGCTAAACCCTCCGGGGGCTAGCTTAGGGCGGTAGATCCGCCAGTCCCCGCAGGGCTTCAGCAATTGGCGATTCCGGATCCAAGTGATGGCCTGCTGGAGGACGTGCTTATCGGGCGACATGGCATCGCAGAGCCCGATCGACATCAGAGCTGTGTCCCACACGGGAGAAACACATGCTTGGATCCGTTTGCCCGTCTCATCTTCCCAAGCAAAGTTCTCCAATGCTTGAATTCCAAGGCGGACTGGAGGGTCATCCAGCTCGTAGCCCTCTAGCACGAACGCATAAATACTGGCATGCATCGGAGGAAAGATCCCAGCCCAGTCACCAGTGGGCTCCTGGCGCTCGAGGATCCACTGTAGGCATTTTCGTCGGGCGTATGATCGGAGCAAAGGGACGGAACGGAGACCATTCAGGTAGTAAAGCAAGTTATCCACGACACTAAATGCAAGTCCTGTAAAGTCTCCTTGGCACAGCAGATCCCGGAGTGATGAGCCATACGGCACCATTTTGTCCGTCGGATTGAGCCATAGCTCATCTAGGTAGTCCTCCGGTAGCGCGTACACGGGCCGATGGTGGCAGATAATCAGCAGCGGGGCAATGGTTCCTCGGGCCCAGGACGCTAAAGTGTACATGTTGATTGGACAACTAGAAGGCAGAAGAATTAGCTCCACGGGCAGCTGGGGCACTGCATCCCATGGAAACAACCCGAAGGTTGCCAGGAAGATGCGAGTAAAAACGCGAACTTTTTCAGCGCCGCCCGCTTTGAGGACAAATGCGCGGGCTTGTTGCATGACTGGCATGTCCGGACTCGCCCCCAGCAACTTGAGTGCTAAGTAGGCTTCAGTCGTGGTCGATACGTCGCCTGGATACTCAGGTGCTAGGCCCCATGAGCCATCGCAGTTCTGCTGTGATAGTATATAGCGGCAGTAAGCCGCATTATCGGCTCTCAAGTCTAAGCCCAAAGCATGTCGAAGGAAGATGTATTCAGCCGTGATAGTGACATTGGACCTCAACTCCCCGCACCAATGCCCATCGGAGCGTATTGAACCAAGAGCATAATCGTTGGCAAGCTTCAGAGTATGCTCTACATCGGAACTAAGTTGCTCTTTCCTAGATGTTACCCCTTCTTCGTAGCCTTCTTTTCTCGAGGTCATCATAACAAAGTCGTAGTTCGTTTCAAAGTGAAAGTAGGAATTATGAAGATGTTGTAGTCGTAGTAGTAGCAGATAAATGTCTGTCAGACAGCATGAAGAAATGAGCCATATCGGATTTCTAGGCCTGCGGTAAGGAGACACTATGCAAATTTATAATAGTCGAGCATGTTTAGCGCATCCTAGTACCATGATGAAATTGGTGGGTCGCATATTAGGGCGCGGCTTCCCTTTTTGCCCTCCTTGTTTCTTCTGCTAACTACTTACCGTTAAGGAACTCAGGCCTGTTCACATGCAATACTCAGTCCCTTAATAGGCTAGTCATATGAGCATGACTTACTAAGTAGTATTACCCAGGGTAACTGCCGTCTGTCAGCATACGGGCCCTGCTTTGTCCTTGCTTTGTCACCATGCAGGATGCTCAAAGGACCGTTTCAAACATGACAGCACTCCTGCTACCCAGACTCTCCTACCCAGATAGTCTTCATCTGGCTTTGGCTGTGGTAGCTCTTGGTGTCACGATTGCCCTCTGGGTGAATAACTGCTACCGGAGCCGAAGATTGCGACGGTTTGAACAACTTCATGGCTGCCAGAAGCCGCCCAACGAAAGCGATCGCTTTTGGTATGACATCTTCGGAATCGCCAAGTCAATCGAGTTAGCATACCATTTTCGCCGCCGAACGTCTCTCTCGTACACAAATGCACTCTTCGAGAGATATGGGGAGACTTATGTCTCCAATGTCTTAGGATTTCGGCTGCTATTTACCTGCAACGCGGTCAATATCAAACATCTGCTTTCCACGGCATTTGTCGACTTCGATAGTTCTCCGTTGCGAAGGCCTTTGTTTGAGCCAATCACACCACATGGGATATTCACCCTTGACGGTGCGGGCTGGAAGACAAGCCGGGAACAGCTGCGAAGTCGGCTCTCCAACCTTCGTAAGGCCATCGATCTTAGCCTGTGTGAGCAGCACTTCCAAGCTTTTCTTCGGCACGTCCCTCCGGATGGACAATCCTTCGATATTCAGTCCTGCGCGTTTGGTCTGTCTTTAGACATGCAGACCTTGTTCTCCTTAGGAGAGTCTGTTGATGCTCTCAGCCCCACCCAGTCTCAAGAGAAGAAGCAATTCTTCGAGGACCTTCTTCTTGTTAAGAATAGAATCGTGCAAGATGGCTTCCGTGGCCCACTTCGACATTTAGTGCCCAAGCAAAGCTTTCTAAAGGCTTGCAAAAACGCACGAGGATATGTGATGAACTGCGTTATTAGAGGATTGGAAAGACAAGGGAGAGTGGACAAGGAGGTAGAACAGTGGCCTACGCTCAAACCACAAATGGATATAGGTGAAGTACCACAGCTTGCTGATCAAGCTTTAAGTATCCTACTCGCAAATGATAGCATGAGCACGACACTCTCGGGCCTGTTCTACTGTCTTGCTCAGAACGAGCGTGTTGTGCACAAGTTGCGAGCAAGCATCATTGACGCCATTGGACTGACACCTCCAACGTGGGGACAACTCGGCATGCTGCATTATGTCCGCTGGGTCCTTCAAGAAGGTTCGACACCTCTTTTGGCCATCTGAGTTCTACTATGCACTAACATAATATTCCAGCGATGAGACTATTCCCCCCAGTTGTTTTGAACGCGAGAGTGGCAAACAAGAATTCAACCTTGCCAACTGGAGGTGGGGCTCATGGTGACGCGCCGATTCTTGTCATGGAAGGAGACATTGTGGTTTTTTCCACCTGGGCTAGACATCGCTTAGGGCAGGATTTTGGTGAGGATCCTGGGGAGTTTCGTCCAGAACGATGGGAACAACTAAGTGGAGATATGGCTGGCTATATTCCGTTCAACAAGGGTCCTAGAATCTGCCCCGGCCGTAAGTCCCCTTCAGTTATGGTGATTCCCAGGATGCACTCGCTAACACAAGAGCAGAGCATTATGCTATGATTGTTCTCACGTACATTGTGGCCCGCATATTCCAAACCTTCTCGACCGTGTCGGATTATAATACTAAGCCGTGGACGGAAAGGATTAGCATGACTTTTGAGAACGAGAATGGGGTGCTAGTTGGGCTTAGCTAGGCTTCCTCATGCATGTGTAGTCAGTTTTGAACAATGGCCTTTGGCTGGTGAGAAAAAGAGATAGTGAACGAGAGCTGTTGTATATAATGAATTTTGCTCAAAGACAGCGAGGCTGGTCAGAAGCGATGGACTACTGGGAGGACCTCAAAAGCTCGTCAGGTGACTCCGTGATTGAATGGCCTAAAAGACAACTATATAAATGGCACCAAGATGCTGAAACTGACATGCTGAAAACCGGCACAAATATTACGCTGAAAATATCAGTAAGGCCACTTTACAACCCCTGCTACGCAGTCACGACTGTTGCGCAGCTATATTACAACTCTAAGCGTCTTTCTTCAGTCCACCTTCGATTGTTTTGAACACAGGAAACATTTTTCTCATCATCAAATCCTATCAAAGCAGTTAGCACGTTATCGATGCTAAGTAGATACTCTGCAACAAGCAATAAAAGGATGCTTACCACACCCCATTGCGGCAATAGCCACAATGCCCATTTCGCAGGGACAGCGCCTCCACCAACCCACAGCTTTCCTGACTCCTTCCTCTCCACTGCCTGGACCACCTTAGATGCATATGCGTACCTATCAACGCCGCTATCTTGCAAGCTTCCATCTCCCATTTTCTGAATAGCATCTTTTGCTCCGATGTAGTATGAGGTTTCTGGGACTTGGCGTTGAATGTAATTGTCGAAGAACTTGGTCTTCACACCACCGGTCATGAGAGTAATGGTGCGAACACCCAGCGGAGCCAGCTCCATACGCCAAGTCTCGCTGGCGCTCATAAAGGCCGCTTTCGAGGAATTGTACATGCCTTGAGTGAGGTACATTAGTCAGAGGATGCCAGTTCTGTGACTAAGGAGGAGGATTGGGCTTACTCATAAAGACAAATGGAAGAGCTCCATTCACTGATGTGTTGTTCACAACACACCCTTTGGACCTGATCAGTAGAGGAGCAAAGGCCTGCGTTATGGCGAAAGGAGCCCAGAAGTTCAGATCGAATAGCTTTTTGCCCTCCTCGATTGAGGTATCCATGGCGGGGAGGATGATGCTGCCTCCACTATTGTTTACCAGAACGTCAAGCTTGCCGCCAGTGGCTTTGGTCACCTTCTCCACTGCATTGGTGATGGAATTTGAATCCAGCACATCCAGGGTGAGGATGGTAGCGTTGGGAGAGTTGGTGAGTGTTTTGGGTGCCTTTGACGGGGTGCGCACAGTGGCAAAGACATGGTAACGGTGATCGTGGAAGGTCTCAGCCAGTGCAGCTCCGATGCCTCCATCGGAGCAGCCTGTGATAAGGACGGTCTTTTGGTCTGTGGACATGGTCCGGATTCTGAAGGAGTAAAACTGAGTCAGGCTTGTCTGGTAGTTAGAGAAAGAAGAGAAACTCACCATGAGAGACATCATGAGGGGGGTATTTATCTTATTTCCAACTTCCCAAGAAGGATAATAGTATAGTAGAATTGGTGTCACCGAGTGAATCCAGCGGGAAGTATACCAAGGCCGTGACTATACCGAAATTGGCAAATGATATTAGAAGTAGCGACACGCCATCGGTTCCTGTCAGCATCACCAGCTGACAAACCAACCATAAAAAGCCCCCCTTCACCCTCTTCTTGTTCCTGTTCGGGTAAATGATATCAAGACCCTAAGTTCGTGATTTCAAACCATCGCTCGGCATCTCGACCGAGCTCCCTGTTCTACATTCTACTGTATCGCGCATACAACCAGAGCTATTATAATCCAATCATGCACTTTATCATATCAACGGATAACAAAAAGCCCGACAGAAGCACCCGTCGACTCATCCGAAGTCATGTAATGCAAGGCATCAACAAAGGGCGACCTCGATACGACCGACGGAAAAAGCCTAACCCCATACAACAAGATCAGATTCCATCGCCACAATCAGCAGAAGTATATCAGGACCCCAACATCATCCCATCGACTAAACTAATAGTGGGGCCTGATCCGTCATTTGCTCAATTCGCCGTCCAAGTGGACTCCCGTACCTTCGCCGATATACTACAATGCATGTCTTCCCTACCCTAACCCCTCTTTCATTTGCGTAGCTAACGCGAAAACCATGTAGTCGCCAAACTCTCAATGCAAATGTTCTTCCCATTAGGATTTCTGATTGAATTCGACTATAGAGATAAATCCTGGTTCCACGACTCCATCCGCTCCGATGCCGCATATCTGCATCTCACCGTATCCGCATCGGAAGTCTTCATGGGCTCAGTCCACGGTCGACAACATTCCGATGAACTACTTTCCAATCGCAGGACCATGCTCCATTTTACAAAGGGCGTGCAGATCCTCCGAGAGAGGCTAACGGGCGTCGATCTCCAGACGAAAATCTCCGATTTCACCGTACGCACTGTGCTGATGCTGGCCATGACAGCGCATCTGATGGGCGAATCCGAGGTCGCACAGAAACATATGGAGGGAATTCGAACGATCATGGATCTTCGAGGTGGTCTGCGCTTATTCGAGAGCCAGAAGATTCTCATTGAGCTGTTCAGGTAAGTAAAGCCACTTACCTCCCTATAACATCTAATCTATACTAACATTGATTGACCATCACCAGATGGGACCTCGGCCTCGCCCTCCAAAACAACACCACGCCCATATTCTTCAGAGACACCTTGCTCGAACCACTAACCCCATTCCCTACCATCTTCAACCCCACCGCTAACCAAACCAACAACCCCTCCCTCCCCCAACTCAAACTAGACCCAACCCTAAAGACAACCTTCCACGTCCTCCAAAACTTCTGCACCCTAATCAACACAAGCATCACCGAGACCCCCCAGCGTCGCCTTACCCCGGATATCATCCCCTCTACTCTATCCTCCGTAATGTACCGTCTTCTCCAAATGCCCTTCCCCCCGAACAGCAACAACGAAACCTTCCGTCTAGGTCTTCTCACCTTCTGCCATCATACCTTCCTCCAATGGCAAGACAAGACACTGCCTTTTGTATTCTTCCCTGCTTCGTATCAACCTCATCTCTTGTCGTTCATGGAACAATGCCAGCAGCATCTTGACAATGCTGAAGAGGAGGGGGAGGGTTCCCCGGAGCTCATTCTCTGGCTATTAATGGTCGGGATCCTTGCATTGCCGCCGCTGCCAGCGTTTCAGGGGACGGATCTCTGGTTGAGAGGGTACTTGCGGGAATGGTTGGAGAAAGTGGGGATCAGGACGTGGGGGGAGTTGCGAGAGATCATGGAGAGGTTTTTGTGGGTGGAATTGATGCATGATTTGGCTGGAGAGGGGGTGTTTGGTGATGTGCTTAAAGTATGAATTGTGCTGATAGCAGATTCATTTGGTGTATATAGTATTGGTGGGAGGTATTATGTTGGTCATTAGCACTCTTAAAGATTGCGATTGGGGAGTGGCAGTAACCTATACACCTTCATTGCGAAGAAGTCGGGTGAATTGGACTGGTGTGCCACTGTCGATGTATACGTGGCGCTCCCACTTACAATAGTAGTAACAACTATATTTGGCAGCAATTCCAACTCTACTGGGCCCATACTGTGTAACAACTAAGAAGCACCATGTGAAAAAAATCAACCAATCTGCATGTGCAAGGATACTATATTCTGTATTACCAATCATATACTTTTCAAGCAGGTCTATCCACATCGCCATGGCGCATCTCTAGTAGTTTTTGTGCCCCTACCAGTTTGCCCCCGCCGTTTGACCAGGCCAGCATCTCCAGGTCGACCACAAACAAACGCGGAGAGGAAAAGCAAGTACTGAAAGGGGAAATCGTGTCGTTCTACATCACAGTGCCGGCATCCGGCCAGAATAAAGTAAAGGGGAATGGGAAAAAAATAATAAAAGAAATCCGTAATAAACAACTGAAGGGGTTCAACATGATTGCATTGTTCGTGACCACATTGTCATCAAGCTGCGATCCCACAGCTGGGCTCACCGTTATCTACCAATCGAGCAAATTTACTGCTCAGCGGGCTTCTCGCCCTCGGCGGGAGCGTCCTTCATCTCAGCGTCGGGCTTCTCCTCGGCCTTCTTAGCCTCCTCTTCGGCCTTCTTGGCCTCTTCCTCGGCCTTACGCTTGGCCTCCTCTTCGGCACGCTTCTTGGCGGCGGCCTCCTCCTGGGCCTGGCGCTCGGCCTCCTGCTTCTCGCGGTAGCGCTGGATGATGGGACCGGCGACGAAGCGGATCTCGTCCATCTTGGCAACGTAGACCGACTTGGTGGTGTCCTCACCCTCCTCGTAGAGCCAGTCCTGAACAACTCGTTAGTTTCTGTAAAATGAAGAATGGAACGAACGTCGTGAAGACTTACCTCGGTGTCGGTCAGCTTAGCCCGCAGCTTGTCCTTCTCCTCCTCGTTGGCGAACTCGGAGTAGACGCCGTCGATCTTGTCACGCAGCTCGTAGATGCTGGACTCGAGCTCGTTCTTCTTCTCGTCGGTCTCGGCAATGAGCTTGTCCTCCATGTACATGGAGTTCTCACGCTCAGTCCAGGCGTTCAGGACGGACTCATCGGTGGAGGTAGTGCCAGTCGAGATGGGCAGGTCACCCTTGCGGACCTGCTTCTTGACCTTGCGAGTCTTCTTGGGCTGCTCACCATCCTTGCCATCGGTGTCCATGGCCTAATCAGTCGTCAGTAATCGGAACATCTCGCGCAATTGAACAGGGGGTTATCACTCACATCACCCTCCTCGGGAACGGGCTCCTCGACTTCCATGTCCTCAACGTAGTAACCGGACTCCAGGTTGAGGATACCGTGCAGGTTCAGGCGAGCCTTGAGCTTGCAGATCATGAAGTCGTCGTTGGCATCAGCCTTGACACCCTTGACAGAGAAGCGGCCAACCCAGGGGTTGACCTTGCCGGGCAGCATCTCGGGCTTGGCGTAGCGGGCCTCGAGATCGAAAGGCTGCTTGCGGTAGAAGGTAAGGATCTTGGTGGAAGGCATAACGTTGCCGCGGTTGAAAACAGTCAGGCTGGTGTCCTCGTCGGGGATGTCGGCAGACTGCTCCCAGGTGAACTCGATGGGGTAGTTGACGATGTCGTGAACGGAGAAGTCACGCACACGGAAGACGGGGGAGAGGATGGCACAGCTGAAAGCACAGCCGCGAGCAATGGCCTCATCCTGGTTGAGGGTGAAAGAGAGGGTCTTGCCGAAGAACTTGGCGACGGCGTCCTTGATGGCGGGCACACGGGTGCAGCCACCAACCATCTCGACGAAGTCGATGTCCTCGGGCTTGAGCTTGGCCTCAGCCAGGGCTTCCTCAATGGGAACGGTGACCCGGTCCAGAAGGGGCTTGACCATGGTCTCAAGCTCCTCACGCTTAACAATGGCGCGGACGTCGACGTCCTCCATCAGAGACTCAATGCTCATGGGAGCAGCAGGGTTGGCCGACAGAACCTTCTTCATCTTCTCGGCAGCGGCCAGGGTACGAGACCAGGCCTTGGGGTGAGAGCGAACATCGATCTTGAACTTCTCCTTGAACTCATCGGCGAAGTGCTCGGTCAGGGCACGGTCGAAGTTGCGACCACCGAAGTGACGGTCGTAGGCAGTAGACTTGACGTTGAGCTCACCCTTGCGGAACTCGACGATGGAGGCAGTGTAGTCGCTGTAGCCGATATCGACGAACATGACCCGACGGGGCTTCTCCTCGGGGCCGGGCAGGTCGAGCTTAGTGATACCGTAACCGAGAGCGGTGGCGGTGGTGTCGTTGATCAGGCGGAGGACCTTGAGGCCAGCGATCTCACCAGCATCAAGCATGGCGCGGCGCTGGACGTCGGTGAACCAAGCGGGAACGCTGATGGTGACGTCGGAGACAGGAAGCTTCAGCTCCTTGGAGGTGATGTCCCGGATCTTGGTCAGGTACATGGCGACCAGCTGAGTAGCCGAGAACTTCTCCTTCTTTCCGAGGTAGCTGACCTCGGCACCGGCCTGGCCGTTGACATCGCAAAGCTGAGCTGTGGTGTACTCCTGCTCGATCGCAACATCGGGGTCGCTGAATGAGCGGCCGATCAGGCGCTTCAAGTTGCCGACCGTGTTCTTGAGGTTGGAGGTCTCTTGTGTCTTAGCGGCCTCACCGAGGGCTCTGCAGCGGGCATTGAAGCCAACAAGGGAACTGTGTGGGAGGAAAAAAAGTCAGTACACGGCTCGTATACTAACGTACTGGGAAGGGCAGCTGATATGGCGCCAACATAAAATTCATGATAAGCAAAGAATGGGCGAACTCACGGAGTAGATCTGTTAGAAACTTCGTTGGTGATCTGTAAACCATCACAATGGACTAGTTAGCAATGACTTGGGACTGATAATGACGAGCGGATGGGCAGCGCTCGGAGGGAGAAAAGAAAATTGGGCAGAGGGGAATAGAGTGACGCACAATATCAATACCCTTGTTACGGGCAACACCGACCTTGGTGCTCTGGGCACCGAAATCTATACCGACGACAGACATTGTCTAGATGAGGAAGAGGTAGAGAGGGGGAGAAGAGAGTGGGGGGAAGAAAAGAGGAGAGAGGGGAAAGAAGAAGAAGTAGTAGAAGAGTGATGAGAGGATGAAAGAGGAAAAAAGTGGAAGAATGGGACTGAGGGGGAGAGGTTGGGGGAGGATCCAAAGAGGGCAGAGAAAAGAGCGAGACGGAGGGGGAGAATTTGCACGGCGAGAACTGCAGGACCCGCCACTAGAAGCTCGCGGGCGGTGAGGCGTCGATTTTCCAACGTGGGCACCGCTGGCTCGTCAGTCACTACTAGTTATCTGTCAGGCAGATACTATCTGTCTAAGCAGTAAGCACAATTCGATGGGTTCCACTTGGGCGAAAAAAAAAAAAAATAAAAAAATAATGTATAATTAAACACACTAGAGGAGATCAATGCAGAAATATATAAAACGCAGGTGTCCCCAGGTCGGAGGATTACAGGAATAAATAAGGAACCTGGCGCTTACCAGCATTGCAGCACAGCTTCACCGGTTTCTTTGGGCGCTCGTCGAACCTTCTGGCTGCTGCTCGACGCCTCCCACCTTTCACCGCTTCATTAGTGCCGGCAGAACCCTTACCTGACCGCTTTGGCGGGGCTTATCGATAGTTCAGAGTTTTTCTCCCGTTTGTGATGACTCATCATGTGCATATCTGTTTGGCCACTCCCTCTTTTCAGTCAATCAACTACAGTGCTACTAGGGTTGGTATGACATTCTATAGATAGAGCTCTCAAGCGTGAGATGTTACCGACTGCTCCAGCTGGCACGTCGGTATCTCCCAGTCTAAGTGGATTGCAGACTTCTGTTACAGAGAATCATCTGACCATTGTATGCCAATGTTATGTGTCATACTTCGTAGCGAATTCGATTCGATTGGATAAACCTTCGTTTGTCTTACTCTATTGATTATCGAGACCAAATGGGCACGAATTCCCCATACGCATCCATGACCTCAGAGGATAGTAACTTTGTCTTATTTGATAATGCGAGAAAAGAGTATTAGAATACAATCGATGTGAATAGACAATGGATCACAAGCCATTACTGAACGAGAGTCAAGTAACTAGTTCATTAGTAGCATGTGTGTTCAAAACAGGCTCCAATACTCTGGTCAGTCGGCCTCTGTTTTCCGGCAACCCTCATGCTCAGTACTAATCAATCCCGATGCCTGAATTTTTATGGGCTGCCTTCCGGTTCAAACCATTTGTTCTGGTTGCATATATCTCCTTTTCTGCCTTGGAATCCTACTAGGTCGCTTGGTATATCTTGGCTGTGGCAAGTGTCCATGGGGCTGAGACCCAGGAACAGCTCTAGATTGCTGCATCACTGATTGTGGAACACTTGACGATACCTGGGGCTTTCCGCTCGGGACACTGCTCTCTGACTCAATGGTATGCATTTCATACGCCCGGTTGTCTACCGGGTCCTCGTTAGATTGCACATACAGGTCACGCTCTCCACCATCTGCCTCTCGTGTGTGTAGAAGCCCGGTGTCTTCCTGCGCCTGGCGACTAATGGAGAGTCTGGCCCGCTCCTCGGCGCTCATCAAGGATTCCACATTCTGGGGCAAGGAAATTGAATTGCCTCCAGAATCGGATGTCGCAACCGAGTCAGACGAGCAATGTGGGTGGAGGCCGATGCGAGGCACGTCTGGAAGAGGGGTCAGGTATTTGGCGAGACTGGTCCCCAGAGCGCCTTGATAGTCGTAATACCGATCTGGAAGCTGTGGCGCAAACGAGAGGCGACCATTGACCTTAGATGAAGGCCGGATGGGAACGCCTTTCTCCTCTATTTTCGTTCGAAACGTGTCTACCTGAACATTAAGCTCATCCCCCTGGACCCTAGCTTTCTCGACCGCTTCCTCTGGTGTAGTATGCTCATCAGCTTTGGCTGCATCAGCTCGAGGTCCGCCCCACGTTCGCTGGCCTGCAGTAAAGATGCCGTACACTATGTAAAGCCAATTGAAGAAAGGATTCAGGATGAACATTAGGGGATAGAGCCAGGCTTTGAAGCGTTTGAGTCTTATCCCAAAATAAACCATGAGGATGTAATTGAGACCGAAAGATACTGCAATGAAGCCAACAGGCAGGTTCTTGATCTTGCTGGAAGTTGTTATGATCGAGATTACCAGAATGAAGAATAGCAATGCAGTCGTCCGGATTGTGTTCTGCATGAAGCGCACCAGACACAATAGTGGGTAGCGTTTCCACAGTCTGACGTCGGTCAGCATACATACTTCGTTGGTTATGTAGCCGAGAAACCATCGACGTCGTTGTTTAAGCAGGCTACAGAATGTCTGAACCGCCTCTGTCTTGCAGAAAGCACTCGTGCACATCTGAATTTGATAGCGTTCGATCGCCCCGATCATGAACAAGTGCGTTAACCAGCGATCTTCTCCCAGGTGACACTTGCCATAGTCGAAGAGATCCTCACATTGCTCAGCTTTGTCCGCGAAGTAGTATCTCGCCATCTTGCGGAAAGCTGAGAATCGTAGGATAGTCAGTGCTCCTGGAAGGCAGGTAACAGCGCCGCAACCGGACTCCACGGTACGCTCAACAAGCTGCCCGTGAATGTATTCCATATCCTGTAGAACAGTTATCAGGGAGTTTCTCTCTGTGGTTGAAGTGATGATTCCTGTCATCGCTAACATATTATGCTGACTCCCTGGTTTCAGTTCCATGTCATACATGAAGTTCTGCAGGCATAATTTATCAAGAATGCAGTCTGAATCGATGAACAACAAAAATAGGTCGTCATGATGCTTTAGATAGTCGGCATATACCTTGTCGATCAACCTGAAGGTTTGTTTCTGGCAATGACGCTTGCCACCGTGCTTGAATCTTGAAACAGTGATCCTTGCCCCATGATATGTCACATCAATGCTTTGCGGGTAACTCTCCAGCGAAATCGGAATTCCCAAATGGTTGATCACATGGAGATAAGGTTCATCGATGTTGCACCCATCATAGGACAAGAAAACATGAATGCAATAACTGGGATAGTCGCTATTAACGACCGAGTCAATTGCCTTGATCAGAACAAGGGGGTCTTCTTTGTATACTGGCATGACAATGACGGTTTTTGGTGCGGTGCGGTCATCTAAAGCCTCCTTCACCCTCTTGGTTCGCCCTAAGGAGTGAATCACGAATCTATTGACACAAAATAGCCATGGTATGATTAGAAGCGCAGAGAATGCCCAGAAAGCGAACCATTGAAGTACAGACACGAGCTGGCGAGGAAAAAATTGCGTGATCTGCGGTGGTAGTGGAAGAATAGCGATCATCACTGGAAGAAAGATTCCCCTACATGTGTGTTATAATACTTTCATCCTTGAAACATTGCACTTACACAAGCTCACCTGCACAGCGTGATGAGGAGAGCCATGATGACTGCGAGAACTCGAATACTCCAGTGATCGGCCTTCTGATATACCTTGATCAGACAGTAAATAAACGCAGCAAGGAAGAGGAACCACTCCAGTAGCGCTGCAAGCAACAATGGTCCCAAGATAGAAATGTAAATGATCTAAGCCCATGGTAAGCGTACTCGTCTTCCGGTGGAAAGACTTCAAACCTACATCTCTAGTAGGCCATGCGGCTAACAACTCGGACGATGGTTCTCCAGCCATGATGAGACGAGCTGGCGTTTCGTTTCGGCTTGACCAGTTGTCTCTGCAGGTTTCTATGAGATATAGTATTATAAGTCTACCACCGCCAAAGGGTCGTCAAAAGTGCCCGAAGCGAGCCGTATTCGTTGGAAGGCAATGGCTCTTTGGTATATAAATCGAATAAGGGAGCTCTTTTCTCGGTCGCCGTGGGTTCCGGCAACTATCAGCATGCCTTCCTGATGAGGACTGAGCCTGTTAGCTTCTTTAATTGTATATTATAGGAATAGAAGCAAACGCACGTTTTGAGATACCTTAAATAATGTGTGACATATTGGCTCGGACAGTGGGCTAATGAGAGCGAGACGATGGCACAACTCTTGTGATATAACGCAATGTGGTAGTCTGAAGTATATCCAATGAAACCCGCCTGATACCTAGGAATTATGTTGAGGACATGGTACCGAAGGAAGGCTTAAGCTGGAGTGTAACTATGAGAAAGGCTTTGATTCAGACAGCCTGAAAGGCTCCAACGGAGATGAAACGAACGGAAAGGCAGGTGCTCTTAGCCCAAAGTGCATTTCTACATACCCCTTCTGGGGAAGTGCCGGGAACCTGCTTTGGCTTGATCTTTCGCTGATTGCATCCAGATTGATTGACTCTTCTTGGTAGCAGTGTTTCCTGGGTTGCCTTTACTAATGCCAACTAAGACCAGAAATTTTCAAGTCATATATCCCTTGGCGCTTGCTTCTTGCATGAACTTGGATAGCCCCTTCAAACTAATCGTCGACCAGCAGGCTGCAAAGCGATTCCATGCGTTGGCGAATCGCGTTTCGACTGGACAATCTGAACGGCTTCCTCCTCAAGTAGACCCCGAGCAACCAGATGACGAACAAATTCCATAGTCCACTCTTGACATCTCTTGTTGGTGGTCTGTGCTCGTCAGGCTGGAGCACAGGCAGTGAGGCACTCGACTTTTACTCACATCATTGACAGGTGCCATGAAATTTTCACTAACACGAGGGGCCGGTATCTGACTGGCTGCGATTTCAAGATCATCTCTCGGAGTATGGTCTACAAACATACTACTACTCTCTATTGGAGAGCCCGTAATGTGTTGAGAGTCGACATATCCAAGCAAGACCGTCTCATACGGCTCTTCATTGGAGGAGAGCGCGTGATTCCGTTTGAACTCGAGTTGATATCCCATCATAGGGGCGCCCACAACGTGTATTGAATTACCTATAGTAGAACAAGCGACCGATGGAACAAAGATTGAGAAATGAGCACGCTGGCTCGGGCTATTCCGGGATGTTACGAGGTATATTGCTCTGGGAGGCATGACGGTAGTATGCGATGGAGTAGAATTGTGACAACATTCAGTCTACTGCCTGAGAGAGATCCAATATCTCTTCTGAGGGGAATATTATATTGACCGCCCGCGCTTGGGAAGCTGGCCAGGCAACAACAAGCAGATGCATGTCTGATTGGTACCTACTAGTACGGTGATTGTCATCCGTTCTAGCAGCATGTCACACATTCTGTGACTTTCCAGATATATACCTAGCTGGTAACACAAGAATCCAGACACCCGTTTCGATCCAGCTTCACTTTTACCTCAAGAAAACCTAATCCTGCTTCGCAGAATCTGTGAAGGATACACATCCATGATAAGTCAAAATACCATTGTTAAAAGAGGTCAGTCCGGCTACTTTCCTAAAGCGGCCAAGTCAGCTGTTTGCGCCACACAAATACGGCTGCCTGGCTGCCTGAGTGCCTGAGGCGAGCGAGACAGTTGCTCCGCTGCGGCGCTCAGAAAATTTCCCCCGCCGCGCATTAATTGGCCTGGCCATTTTCTTTCTCGCATCTGGAGCTCTTCTTTAAATTACTTGCAGGTGTCTTTTCCCGGTCGATTCCTCTTTTCCGCTTATATCCCTATCTTGCGCTTGCGCATTTCAGGTAAGATACGAGTGCCCTGCTTGCTTCCTCCAATTCTCCGCATCGCCGTCGCGCGGTTCTCCGTCCATCATTGGCCAAATCGGTCCGTATCATGGTTCTGACGCGGGATTGCACCCTACCCTCATCCTGAACTTATCGCCTGTGCCTCTCTGCTTTTGACGATATGTAGGAATCACTGACTGATATTTTTCCACTCTAGTATAGACTCTATACATCAATCTCCCCTATACCCCCTTATCCTCCTACAACACAGCTCGTGACCATGTCCGAAGAGCAGAAGCCTGTCGCCCAGCCCAACGCTGAGGCTGAGAAGGATGTCCAGAACGTCCTCGCCGAGCTGAAGGGTGAGAACGAAGCCCCCGCCAACGGTACCGAAAAGAAGGAGACCGAAGATGCCGAGGAAGCCCGCATTGTCGAGGCCGCCGCCAAGCTGGGCGAGAAGTCTGAGAAGGCTGAAGAGCAGAAGACGACACAGGAATCTCGCAACGACAACCGGGGTCGCGAGGGCCGCTTCAACCGCCGCAACAATGCCAAGTTTGACCCCTCTACGCAGCAGGTGACGGATGACCCGGTCGAGATCCGCAAGCAGGTTGAGTTCTACTTCTCTGACTCCAACCTGCCCATGGACAAGTTCCTGTTCTCCAAGGTCGGCGGCAGCGCCAACCGTTCCGTTCCTCTGGAACTTCTGCACTCCTTCAAGCGCATGCGCCGCTTCCAGCCCTTCAGCGCCGTCGTCGAGGCCCTCAAGTCGTCCGAGACGCTTGAGCTGACCGATAACGATACCTCCGTGCGCCGGAAGACTCCCCTTCCGGAGACCGTGTCGCAGACTCACGACCACAACGTGGTCAAGGTGTTCGAGGACCAGGCCATGAGCCGTAGCATCTACGCCAAGGGTTTCGGCGATGAGGAGCCGACCACTCAGCTTGACATTGAGGCCTTCTTTGCCCCCTACGGACCCGTCAACGCCATCCGTCTGCGTCGTGCCTACGACAAGACCTTCAAGGGCAGTGTGTTCGTTGAGTTCGAGTCGGAGGAGAAGCAGAAGGCTTTCCTGGCCCTGGACCCCAAGCCCCAGTGGAAGGGTCAGGACCTGCTCATCAAGAGCAAGAAGGACTACTGCGACGAGAAGGTGCGCGACATTGAGGCTGGCCGCGTGAAGCCCAGCGGCTCCCGCGGACGCGGTGGCTTCCAGCGCGGTCGCGGCCGTGGCCGTGGTGGAAACCGTGGTCGTGACAACCGCGATTGGAGGGAGCGCCGCGCGGCTGACCAGAAGAACGGCTTCAACGACAAGAAGAGTGAGCCCAAGGAGGAGCGCAGTGAGGTCCAGAAGGATGCTCGGTATGTATTCACTTTGTCTTTCCCCCTATCACCACCCCATTACACAAAAGCAAAAGTATGTATACTAACAAACCCATCCAGTGGCGTCCCCATTGTCCAGAGCACCGCCGAGTCCGGCCAGAAGCGTGCCGCCGAAGACGAGGCGAACGGCGACCACCCTGCCAAGAAGGTGGACGCCAAGGAGTAAACGAAATAACGTCATCTAAATCAAAAAGATAAAAAAGAAAAGTTGCAATTCAAAGCTGGCTGTCTATCATCAATGACACCACTTGCTTATTTTTATATCGTTGCTTCGAAAGAAAAATGGGAATAAGGGTTATGGGATACAAAAAGCATGACTTTGGCTCGAATTACTACCCCCGGACTTTGAAGACCATAGTACCATAATGGCGTTGTATAATTTCATTATTATTATTTTTTTTTCTTTTTCTTTCCATTATTATTTGCCGATATCCTTTGCTTCGGTGGATGTTACATTCTAGACTTACGGAATAGGATGTTCTGGGACTCATCTTTACCGTTTAGTTTCCTCTCTTTTGGGGCAGTGAGTATACCATCGTAGAATTTGTCAAGCAAGATTGCGGCTGGCTATAAGATGGAGTGTCGATCATGCTTGGCAGTAGCACGCTCGTAATGCAGTACTATTACTACTTCCAAGTACTAGAAGTTGTTGACTGCAACAGCCAGGGCTGCACATATATTCATCGACTACAGCACGTATATAACGGTATCATATGCTAAACCACCTCTCATCCCCCAACCTCTCATTTCTTCTTCTTCGTCTTATCCACAACATCAATCCACTGCGTCCTCAATCCACGTCTCACCAACGCCGTCTCCAACGCGCGCCGCTGGTCTCCCTGGACAAGCACCTCCATGACGCCCTTGGGCGCGCCAGTAGCCTGCGTTACACTGGTGCTGCTAGCGCATTTCTTCTGCAGTTCTTCGGCCAAGAGACTAGGGATGATGCCGAACACTTCGAGGTTCCAGACCTTAGTGACGGTCTTGGAACCGGTCCGGCGTTCAAGGATCACATTGACCTTGGGGGCGGCGCCTGCTTTGGGCTTCACCTCGGAGAGGGTCTGGCCGGGTCGCAGGATGACGTAGTGGGCTGTCATAAGGGAGTGGTCGTCGATGAGGCGCTTGAGGAGGCCGTCACGGGTGGTTTTGCCGCGGGCGAGAGTGCTCTTGTCATCGGCGGAGGAGGAGGTGAAGATGGTGTTGGCGAGGTAGGGGTTGAGGGTAATGATGCGTTTGTTTTTGGGGTCGACGAGCGGGGGATTCTGAGATTGAATGTATTGGTCGAGGTGGGTGGAGATGTCGGTATATTTGTAGTAGTTGCTGGGGTGGGTGCTGGATAGAGCGGGGAAGATGGTTGGAGTGAGTTTGTTGGTTGGGCGATATAGAGTCTGCACCGTCAGGGTTTGGCCGACTGAGGGGTCGCCGCTGTCTGTAGATGCGGACTTGACGTTGTTTGCTGAAGTGGCAGGTTTTCCTGCGTTCTCGATGGCGTTCTTGGATGGGAGTCTGTAAGGGACGAATTCTACAACGCGACGGTCATTGAAGTCCACATCGAGGATGACGGTCTCTTGGCCGTTGCGGTCTTTGGACTTGACCAAACGCTGCTTGTCCAGGTATTTGATGAACTTTTTCACGTTCTTCCAACTGGTCTTCTTGATTTGGTAGAATTGGGCTTGTTTTGCGGTGTATATGGGCAGGTGGGGTGTGATCATGTTCGATATCAGAGCAGATGGTTGGACGGGTAGAGATAGACCGTGGTTGGTAGCGGATGGGTTATCTTGCTTGAGTTTGTAGAGGGAGTAGAGGAAGGCCTTTTCGAAAGCCTCATCAATTTCTTCAAGTAGTCAGCATGTAGACCCCCATGTTGTTTTGAGCGAAACTCACCTTTGGTTGTGGGCTCCTTCTCTTCAACCTCAAGAACCTCCTCCTGCGGGACATCAGGCGCTTCATCTGATACTTCTTCGCCTCCAGCTCCTTGAGTGGCCTCTTCACCACCTACTGCTAGGCCCTGCACGCCCTCTTCAATCTCCCCCACATCTTCGTCCTCTTCCAGTTCATCATCCCAACCTTCCAGATACTCTGGAGCGGGCTGACCCGGCTTGGAAGACGAGCTCCATGCCCACAACTCATCACCCTCCCAGTGCAGACCTCGAACGGCATGTCCCTTCGTACCCTGGACCTCACCAAGGGCAGAGATGTCGATCTCGCACACACCCACAAACAGCGGTACCGTATGCCTATTAAGGCTTGCAACAGCTACCACTGCGCCCTTAACGGCACGCTCGTCGAAAGGCGGGTCATTGGCCAGACCCGGCGTCATCAGGTCGGCTCCTCCGTGCAGTTTCTGCATGACCATTTGCGGGGTATGAAGCAGTGGCACCAGATCTGGGTTGTGCCAAAGTGTATATACCGTAGGGTAGAGGCGTCCATCGGCGCCGGGGCCGTGGTCGACTCTGAACCACAGAACCCGTTCATCGGCCCCGGGATGTGTTCCAACATACACCGTTCCTTGTACTTCGCGGAGCTGAGGTCCGGCGGTCGTAGTAAAGCGTGCGGTCAAACAGTTCTCGGGGAGTAGAGCATTTCGAATGGAGGTAAGGTTTGGCGCCGTTGGGTTGGATGCGCCTGGAGCTGAGTCGTCGCCGCTGGATTCGACCGGTGCACTTTGTGGGACCTCGATCTTGTAATCGCTGATAATCTGATCGGCAATCTTTCGACGGTCGGACGACCGCAGGGGAGAAAGATTTTTGATCTGCGATTGTCTAGTGTGAGCGATGCGCTCAAACAGGCACGATTGACCTTCTTGTAAAGTGGTGCGGGGGAGGGGTAACGTACCGTGGGCTTCTTCTTGAACATGATGGAGGAACGAGGGTGCAGTGGTTTAGTAGACGAGTATTAGATGACGATCTAAGCCATGCAGCCCACGCCAACAGAAATGGAGTATCCGGGGAGTGGATAAAGGGAAGAAGAGGCTATTCGGAGAGCTGCTGAGGGGACGAACGAATGGATTTGACTACCGCAACAACAATCGCCCGCGTGGTCCCCGCTTCCCGAGGTTTCAACACATTCTACGCATACATCACCGAATAACATCATTACCAGCAATCAAAGCATGAAAATCCTTAGAACTTTAATACTCTCTCAACCTTCACCAAACGCACAATCTGTTTTCCTGTCCAGTATCATGTAAGAGGATAGCGGTAGTACCTGCCGGAGAGTCCTACTGAACCGTTCAGGTTAGGCCCTATTGTATACTTCGCAGGCACCCAGGTAGAGCAAAACGCACAAATTAGAAGTCTACTCACCAGTCCTCAGTTCAATCATAATAGTCATCACAGAACCCATCATCCATTCCATAGTCTAAATGGTCATAGCACTCCTGGAGCGGCTCATTGATGTTTGCCTCGCAGTCCTCGTAGTCGTAGTGGCTCTGGTCTCCCTCATAACCTTCATACTGGTCGTGATAGAATGGAATTGGTCCTTCATCCCAACCCGCATATTCTTGCTCATCCGGCTCTGCTCCCCTGTGCTCGCAATACTCCGGGTCGAGCTCGCTATCTTCTTCTTCCTGATCCTCGTACTGCTCTTGAGATCCTTCCTGCTGCTCGGCTTCCCAATACTCCTGGTCATACCGTCTCATGGTGTCTAAAATCTCCTTCGCTTCATCGTAGTCCTCGAAATCGTACGGTTTCAATCCATAAGATAACATGAAGTCATGCATGCCGTTGAATCCAGCTTCCTTGATCATCCGATACAGACTCTTCTCATGGGGAGGAATGTCATCTGGCTGCTGAGGGGTGACCTGAGAGGGCGACATGATGGCTTGCGGAGATGGGGAAGAAGATTGTTAGCAGCGCTCTGAATACGACAATATGAGAGAGAAATCTGAAGGTGGGAAGAGGTAGTAAGTAGTTCATGAGAAGCCCAGGCCGTTGTTAATTTGTAGCAGTGCCTTCCATTTCGGGCAAGACTCGGTCACGGGGTATTACCATGATCAATAGAGAGAATACTATCAAGACAGGCTGGAAAGAACATCGGCGAGAATCTTGTGGGCCATGCTTTGAAGGCCACTGTTGCCTTCCTCATGACCCTCAACGATTACCAGTCACTTATCAACGACTACTAAATCCGATTCTATCTAGACGGCAGACACAAAGAATGCAGTATTATACGAAAGAGAACGGTACAGTTGAAAGTCACAGCTTCAATATTGATATTTTATAGGTACATAAGTGGATACCCGATCCGAAGCGAAAAGAGCATCAGACGGCTAAAAGGGCTTGTGTAGCCGTCAGATAGAAACAAGAAGGAATGTCTATATGATCCGAACTTCCACGTCTGGCTGGGCGCTTAGGCGTTGAGGTCACGGGCGTGCTTCTTCTCAGTGACTAGCCAAGAGAAGGTCTCCTTCAGGACGCTGAGGAACTGGTCGGCGCTCAGAGAGCTGAAGTAGCTGGTGAGGTTGTCGCTGGAGACGGCGACGCTGGAGCTGCTGGGGGTGGCAACAGCGGCGGCGCTGGAGCTGGCAACCTGGATGTGGGTTTGCTGGGGGGCGCTGCCAGTGACAGTGACCTGCACAACGTCAGTCGAAGTCTGGTAAGCAGTGGCGACCGCAGTCTGGACGGTGGTTTCAACGTCGGTGACAACGGCAGCAGCAGCGGCGGTGGTGGTGGTGGCGCTTACGGCGGAGGTAGTCGCAGCAGGAGCGCTGGTGGTGGAGCTGGAAGCGCTGGAAGTAGTGACAGCGGCAGCGGCAGCGGAGCTGGTAGAAGAAGCACTGGAGGAGCTGCCGGAGGAGCTGCCGGAGGACGTGGCGTTGTACATAGCAGGGCCGGGGATGTCATAGGAGCTCAGGGTCTCGTAGATGTTGACCAGGATACCCGGGTCGGTGTCCTTGTAGAGGGCTTCACCCTTGGTGCCCGAGTAGGTGGAGCTACCGCTACCGGTAACCTTAAGGTTAAGACATTGAGGGTAGTTCTGGGCGCCATCCTTGTTCTCAGCGGAGTGCAGGGCAATGATCTCGTGACGCAGGACGTAGTTGCCAGCCTCGAGGGTCGAGGGGATGGTCACAGTCCAGCTGTTGTTGTTGGAGATCAGGTTGTCGGTGGCCCAGGTTCCAGGGACTTCAGTGTCGCTGATGAGGCCGCTCTCGTCGATCTTGAAGAACTCAAGGTCAGTCTTGGTGACATCGGAGCAGTCACCGTTGCAGTTGGCAAGGTAAGTCAGGACGGGACCGTGGTGGCTGGAGGGCCAGTCAGTCCACTGAAGCTCAACAGTACCACCAGCCTTGACGTCAGCGGAGATAGCACCAGGCTTAGCGCTCTTGTGGCAGATGATGTCAGCCTCGGCGTATTCAGAGCCGTCGACGAAGCCAAGGTCAGTGGCTTCGGTAGACCAGGCAATGGTCTCCGGAGGGTCACTCTCATAGGCGTAGGAGGTGACGATGTATCCTCCGTAGTACTGGCCGTCAACGACAGCACCAGACACATAACCGTGGCCAGCAACAAGAGCGGCCGAACCGAGGACAACACCAGCAATCTTAGCGACAGACATTTTGCAGGCTTTGAGTTAATCGACGCACAGCGTGATCGTGGGTAAGAGGGATCGGTTGGGAAAGAAAGAGTGACGAAGCAAATGGTCTTCAATCAATGAAGCCAGGAAAGGAAAGCAAGAGAATGGATGGTTCTAAGACCCCGGGAAAAGAAATGAATGAGAAGCTGATGAGGAAAGGAAGAAAGGTCGAAGCAGGACGTGAATCCAGCGCCTTTATATAATGCTAGCCATGGTCGTAGTTCTATCAAGTCTCCGCCCAAAGCTCAGACCGAACGGTTTCGAACCAGGATAAATGAAAGGTTCACTCCCCGATAGCCATGCTGCAATTAGATTTCTTGGCAGCTGTCAGGTTCCCACTAACTACAGGGCCGACTGAGACGCGGAATTGATTGGGATAGGGTCATCGCAGACGGAGAGTCTGGGATTGATGAAAAGCAGGCACTAGACCACAGACCACAAACACGCCGGTAGGTTCCAGAGTCGGAGGTCGAGACACCCTTGCAGGAGCCAGTTACTACTTAGGCATTAGCGTTGTCCAAACAGGGGAGACGGAGAGGCGCCGAAAAGGGCCCAGCGAATTTAGCTACATACCGGAGCAGAAGAGTGGACCGAATGCCGGAGGCCCTCTGGCCGTCCGGCGGCAGTCTGCGACATGGCGAGTTTCACTCTGGAGCTATTCTGGCTCCAACTCCGCCCTGCCAAGAAATGCCATTTTTGCCAGTTCCGCCGGAAGTGGCTTGTTTAGGTTATGTCAGTTGTTGGAGAAAGAAAATCTATTTGATTTTGGAATCGATAGAGAGAAGAACTTGAAAGCCGGGGTGAAGTACTTCATCAGTACTAGATGGTTGTAGATAGCCAACTAAACTACGTAGTTAGTCGGGTGGTACTGCAGTAGTCAGCGATCAACCACGTGCGCACTAGTCCCTATTGAACTCTTGCTCACCTCCCTCAGTGGCTTTTAACAGTACTACACTTCTATTCTGGGAGTTTTTCCATGTTCTGCGTGGTGAAATGTGGCGGGAAATAAAAAAGAGCGACAAGCCTGAATCTCAAAATGGAGGGGCGCATCAATGCCACCTGCCACCCAATAGAGATAGTGCCATCCCGTCACATACATAGTGGTGATAACTGGGGCCTGGGCCCATCCGACAATTAGATTGAGACCGCCGATTTAATTGCAGGGAGGGCCGCATCGAATCCGGTCTTGGCAATGCCCTTACGAAGTAGAGTCAAGCTTCTCATGATTCATTCGTTCACCTTCTCAGCTTTGATTAACACCTCCCTGTAGGCTAATAAGCAACAGCCCTGTATTGATTGGGTGCCGCCCAGTTTCTGCTGGATGGAGTTGGTCTGGATTGCCTGCTAGTCCGTGAATTGAAAACACATTAATGGCCGCAAACGCTCCTTTCGATAGGACCCTGAGGGTCCACGCGCTCCATGCAGGGACCGCTATTGCTTCTTGAAGCGCCCGACTTGGTCTAGGAGTGCAATCCCTTACTGATTCTCATCAGCTTTGGGAAGTCTGGACGCTCAGTGGTGGTAGTCTGTTACTGGTAGATGGGTGGGACTCTGATCCTGATCCTAGCTGCACCGTTGGGGTCTTCAATCCGAAACACACCCATTGGCGGAGTTCGCTATCCACATGTACCAGCGACCAACCAAGCTTTTTTTCCACAACGGCCATCGGTATACTTGTTTGATAGGGAAGGGACGGACTCCTGTGCAATTATTCGTCGCCCGCAGATCTCTCATGTCTTGCCATAGTTAGAATGTCAGTTGTTGCAGATTATATAAACGGACGTCTTGTCCTAGCTGCGACCTTCCTTGGGACTGTGGTTATTTGCCTAAAGCATTCTTGTATAACTGAACCCCAGCCTCAATTCAAAATCCTTGGGCTGGACGTACACTGATTTGGTTTTCTGCATTCTGCTTTAGGCTTGTGACTAGCCGAAACCTTCTGTGTATAATCAGCCAGCCATTCAGCGGTGATCCGAAGTCCACGTTCCAATGATAGTGTGTATGCATAGTACTTATTTATACAAAATACAGATGATGCAACTTACCATATATCGAAAACGCTCATTGAACGAGGAAACCTGGTAACCTTAACTCGGAAGTTTGTCGTGCGCTCGGCCCAGCTACTACTTTGACTTGTACTACTACTACATTTCGTCACGATCTATGTACTCCTGCAATTTGGGATCTGACTGCGTTCACTGTGCTACATCATGATCCCATGTAGATCAGGCGGGTGTTGGTAACTGCAGTCCTTGCATATTTTGGACACAGGACCTTAAAATGTCACCCAAGCCACCTGCAGCCAGCTCTTGAAGGAAAGACTGTAGGACATTCTCTCTTAGCACTGATTCGTGTATCACTTGAAGCTATCAGAAGTTCCATGGAACCCTCAAAATATATACTTAGCCCTCAATATACGAATTTGTCATGAGGTTTGGTATCAATAAGTCGTAATAATCTATGGCGCTCACCTTCATGGGAAAAAAAAACATGAAGTGACTGCGAAAGCATCATGGAACCTGCTATTGGAGTATAGGATCTCCGCCACTAGCAATTTGATGTGCTTCAGCTGTGTACTGTGGATGGCAGAATTTTCATATAGTAGATAATTGCTTTTCCCTGGAATGGGCTGATCGACACCGCTCGGTAGGTCATGAATGGTCAGCCACCCAACGAAGCACTTCATGAGAAGATAGACTAGACCCCCCACAGTAGATCAGTACACTTTTGATATTTTCCCGCCTACTTCCGGATTAAGTCTTCTTTTCTTCTGATGTCCTTGCGCTAGTGAATATCGGCTTGCCGTGAGATCTTCGCTGCGGAAATAGCATTATAAGCACATTGCAATTGCTCCAAAGATCGCGTGGGCATGCGGTTGTTTTATGGGTTCTAGATTATTTCGATTGCGAAAGATAATTTGGTCTTCATGGTCGACTGAAACCTGCATTCTTCCATGGCCTCCTGTGTAGGCATCCTAAAAGCCCGTCATCAAGATAATTCGGGATGACCGACCATTTATTAAAAACGAGTGCGGTGAGGCCTGCTAGAATGTAGATTCGACTAGTAATGCACTGTCCAGGGTAACTTGACGTGCTAAGTGAAGAGGCCCAAAACTTGGGATTTTATTGGTACCTGATCTGCTCCGCACGGTGAACTCGGATCGAGTGCTGTCAAAACGCTTATCGTCACCTTTTCAGGGATGCGGTCTGATCGGGATCCGAGGGTGCTCTGTGGGAAAATCCCAGGCAAGACATGACGGATGATTTAATTTGCTGACCATTCGGAGTTACACTGTGGCGTCATTCCATCGCGCATCTCCTGAGTATGCGAACGACTGCTGGATTAAACTTACTTGACTGCGGTCATCTTCTTTCGTAGCAGTCTTAGCAACCAGGGAGAACCATCCATACTTAGGCTGTCGTACATGGTGGATGTCCAAGTTGCTGAGAATGGTAAACGCAGATAGTGCAGTCTGGACCAATTGACGGTGAGATATGCTCCATAATGATCCGCGAACAAAGCGCCACTCTCTCCGATCCGCGAATGTGCTCATCTTTTGTGGCTGATAAAATACCAAGTAACTACGGTAACTGGTATTTATTGTACTGAGAGACGCGTTTAGCACTCAATGCACACCTGCTTGCCCAAGTACTGTGGTGTTCCCAATGGAGTAGGCCTGTTTTGAGAGTGTTGCGTTGACGGAGAGGATATCATACAGATGTGTCACAAAATGCGGTGCGATCTGACAGGCTTGATCCAATGGCTCGGAACTGAGCCGCCCGCCTACCGTAGGATCAACAGATTATCTCTAGTACTACGGAGGAGTAATATTCTCTCATTATTCTCAAAGCGATAATTGATTGATGATGGAGGATCGAAAGAAGTCAGCATCCACCCACCAAGACATGGACACGATTTACACAGTAGGTGCACTATAATAGTACTATTGACTTGTAGCCCGCTACGTGTCCCGGAACTTGTCAATCAATGACAGACGAAGACACTCCATAGAGCGGCGGCGACATCCACCGAACTTAAAGGCAATAGTACGGAGTAGAGTACTTGGTGTAAGTAGTTAGTAGTCAGTTCAATGTTCGGAGTAATAGGAAGGCGCAACTTTTGGTGATCAATTAATACCACCTCAAATATCACTGGTTGCCGTCTTCGGGCGCCCCTCCCAGGATCGTTCCCCGGCCAATGGAAACTCGGCGGCCTAGTTACTCCGTTCCTGGCCGACATTTGTCCATATTGGGACTAGTGCCACTCCGGGGCGGCCTCACCGCGACTCACTGTCGAATCCTCGCAAAGAGTCGTTTTACAGCAAAGTGCCTCAGTCAGCAGATAACCATTGATTCACCTCCCTCCCCTTCCTTGTCCTTGGCCTCTCTCTCCCGTCTCCAGGACTGACTTGCCGGTCGGACGCCGTCTCCCGAGTCATCCTTCACATCTCTCTTTCTAGTCTTGTCCTATCCATCGAGATTCTACTCGGATTGATACACTCGCGTCTACTATCCTCGAAACTTCTGCGCTCCGACGCCCGGCCTGGATTTTGCACAGTGACTCCCTTTTCCCAACTCTTGCCGCGCCTCCGCCTCCGCTCCCCCCCTACGCCAGCCGCCCTTACTCAACAACCCTACTGTTCCCCTTCAACCACCCTCTGAGAATCCACCATCTTCCTTTAGATTTTTCTGTGTCGCTGTCGCCTCGGTTGATGGACGTGGGGTACTGCTGACGGAGGCAAGAGAATCGCGCCCGCAACTGCGCCCGCCCAGCACATTCCCGTCCCAGTCAGCCGCCCTTTGTCCTCCTGTCCCACCGTCCGAAGTGTCAACAATCTGGATTGCAAATACATAAGGTGTGGGTTGAAAAGCAGGCTGTGAGGCACTCTAGGGAGAATTGCAGGCATCTCCCTCTGGTCTTCTGAAGACTGCTGTGAGAGTCAAATGATGGGATCGGCAGAGGCTGCCTCTTCGCCTGCGTTTCCTTTCCTAGACCCGATTGTCGTTGATGACGAGATGGGGCACCCTTACCAGGACGAAGATATGGACTTTTTAGATACTGCGAGGCTGCAGATGTCGGCGGAAAATGCAGGGAGGGACTTTGACGACATCTTCTCACGCGCCACTTCATCCCGCCCGGTCGCGGAATCGGAGCCATCGTGTCTGTCGCCCTCGGAATTGTCTCTCAAGCGATCGTACCAAGACCAGGATGCGTTGCGACAAGTTAATGTTGTCTCGTCCGACTCCCCCGCCGAGTCCCCGGATGGCTCATCTCCGAGCTCTTCCTCCACATCACCGCGGAATCATCTTCGAAACCCGTCCGTCACCTCGTCTGCGTCGGTTGTTCATAGCGAAAACACTGTTATGCCGTTTGGATATGCGACAGAGGATTGGATGAATCCCGACTTGTCTTCAGTGAAGGAGGAGTCGCTGTTCGGTCTGGACCTTTCCCTGCCAAACCTTGACGGCGCGTTTCCCACAGACACCGATCTTGAATCGAGCAACAAAGCCATGGATGCCGCATTTGATTTTGAGAGTGCCGCCAGCAGTCCTAGCCCTCTAAAATCCGAGTCTGCGCAGCCCAGAATTGCTAAGAGATCAAAATCTCAGATGCGGAGTGTTTCTAGCACTTCGGCCAGACATTCTGCCTCATCGGTGAGTTCCCGTTCTTTCATTGCCGCCGGTTCGATCGTGCTCTGCTGACACATAGTACACAGATGAATGGGTCAACCTTCTTTCCTCGCAACACCAAGGAGCCTTCGCCGTTCTCCGTTTCGCGAAGCTTCAGTCAGGCCAAGTCGCCACTGGGCCCTTGGGGAGGCCATTCACCGTCATCACTTTTGGAAGAAAGCTTCGGTGGAATTAACATGAATGGCGGTTCTCCGCTTACTCCGGGTCTCAACTTCGGACCGAGTAGCTTCCCATTTGGTGTCAACTTCGCACCGTCCCCTTCTCCAACAACCGTGAAGCAGGAGACGACGCAGCGTCACATGCTAACCGTGCATCCCACCTCCCTCAAATCACGCGTGGAGACTCAAATTCCTATCAGGCTGACCCTCTTTCCGTTACCGAATGGCGTTAAAAAGGTGCGCTTGCCGAGCCACACCATCTCGAAGCCGAAATTTCTTGCACCGCCGACTGTCGAACGGTCCCCGGAGATTGTGGAATTGCACACCAGTCTCGTTTGCACAAGTGCGATGCAGGATCAAGAGAAGCTGAAGAAGGCGTTTGCCAGAGCAAGAGGAGATAACTCTTACCGTTCATCCAGCTCTAGCCCACGTTCCGCTGAAGACATGCAAGAAGACGATAAGCCACTGGATGGCGGAGAAGTGAAGATCTGTCCTGGTTGTATACAGCGTGAGCGGAAGCGTGCGTTCAGGAAAAAGCAAAGAAAGCCGGAGGAAGACGAACTCTTCCAGAAGGACGAGGAGAAAAGGGTAATCGTCTTCAACACCAACGAAGTCAAGGAATGGGCCGAGCCATCGAAGAATGCCATGCCGAGCTTTGGAGACGCTCCGATGCCTAATATTCCCCCGGGGGCCATGCAAGTGGAGTTACCGATGCGTATCGCATGCTACTGCAGGCATCAGAATGAGAAGCTTGGGTTTCAGTACGTATACCCGGCTCTGGGCGGATATGGTATTGTAGCACTTTGCTAACTTTAGTTTTTAGGGTCATTTTCACTGTCAAAGATTATAAGGATAACGTTGTTGCTCAGGCGATAACGAATTCTATCATGATCACTGACGACCACAAAACTCATGCACCTCCCGCTCCACCAGCTCCTGGTCCATCTCCTTCTCTACCGGATGGGACACAGCTTCCGGGCGTTGGCGTGTTCCCTTCGAGCCCCAGTGTTGACACAGGCAAATCATCGGCCCCGTCGCAACAAGCATCCCAGTCATCTTCAGCTACCGATCTGCAGGGTCTGCAGCAAAGGTTCAACACTCAATATCTGACGTCGGGCTCCTTCCCCGTGTCCCAGTCCTCAACGAACGGCACAACCACCAACACTCAAACGCCGCGGAGTCTTTCTCGACAGACTTCGCCGAACGATTTCCAAGGGCCGATGAGCAAGCGTCGCAAACACAGCAACTCTGGGAGACTGCCATCGGAACTCACTATGACCAAGCTGGAAAACACGCAGTCGTCAGGTAGTGTCTCCAGCTCCTCAGCTCCTAACAATGATCCACCTTTTCCCAGCACTCGCGGGTTCGCATCCCCGGCGGAGAGGCCCTTCGTCACTGCTTCTGCCATATCTAATCAGTTCCCTAACGGACCGCCGACTCCAAACGGCGCAGATACCAACCCCTTCCTTAACACCATGCAACAACAGAGTTTGGACAATTTTATCCAGCAACAATTGATGTCTGCACCGAACTCCGCCCAACCAAGTCGTCCAGGGACCCCTGGGGGTTCGCGCAACAATTTCCAGGATCCAAATTACAATATTTCCTTGGGACCCAACACGTCTTCACCAATGTGGCCGCCACTAACCAATGCGGGAAACCGGTTACCTTCAGTCATCCACAAACTGGTACCTGCAGAAGGCTCTATTACGGGAGGCACAGAGGTTACCTTGCTTGGAAGCGGCTTCTACCCTGGGATGGAAGTCGTTTTTGGTGACACTTTAGCCACCACTACCACGTTCTGGGGTGACAAGTGTCTCAACTGCCTGACACCCCCTGCACTTCAACCCGGGCTTGTGGCGGTGGTTTTCAAGCATGAACATCCCACCTTCGGCCAGATGCAACCTACTCAACCTCTGATGCCAAAGCAGCAGCAGTTCTTCCGTTATGTCGACGATCGCGAGTTGCAGATGTATCGCCTTGCTCTTGGTATCCTTGGACAGAAACTCGGCAGTCAAGCAGATGCGTTCCAGACGGCTCAGCAGATTATGGGCAGTGACATGAAGGGCGTTTTCAACCTACAAAAGGACTTCCCAGGAGGCTCTGGTGGTGGTCACCAGCGGCAGGCGGCTGGGCTGGAGTCGCAAGTCTCACTTGGTGACCTCGATGGCAGAATGTGGAAGTACCTCGAGTTTGTCGATCTTGATGACAGCCCACGCCCACCCAGGTACAATTCGCGCTCGGCGACAGGCCAGACACTGCTCCACTTTGCTGCCTCCTTGGGCCTGACACGGTTCGTGGCCGGCCTGCTTGCGCGAGGTGCCAATCCCGACCTGCAGGATAACACCGGGAACACGCCGATGCACTTTGCGGCTCTGAACGGTCATGCGCATATCGTCAACAGGCTCCGTCTTGCCGGTGCCAACCCTAATGCCCGTAGCATTAGGGGTTTCACTCCAGCAGACCTCGCTACGACCTTGCCTGCTCACCAGGCGGCCTTGATACCTGCACGTCATTACCGCTCACGTAGTGTTGGGTCGCTTTCCTCCTCGCGTCGCAGGCACAGCAGTTCCGCATCGTTACATTCCCTCTGGGACTCTTCATCTGTGTCGGGCTCTTTTGACCATGCCGTTGAAGACTCCGATGACTCGGAAGACGACGACGATGTAATCGATTATAGCGCCTCCCGCCGGTCGAGTATGCATCACGAGCGGCCAGTGTCGATTCCTGGACCTGAGCAGCCAGCAGAGTCGGACGATGCTCGACCATTTTCGCCTCCGGCCGCCCTGGTTGCTTGGCGTAACCAACTGCAGGCCCAAATCAATCAGTTCCAGCAAAGTGTGGCCAACGCCTTCCCCAATCTGCCTGCGTTGCCGCCTATGCCCGCACTGCCTGACTACCAAGCCCATCCGATGATGCGTCGTATCACCAATCTGGTTCCTCACCGACCGAGCACCGCGCGGTCTGCCAAAGATGGCTGGTGGGATATGCTGACGGGCAATTCCGCCCCTACGGGTACAGAGCTACCCTCCTATGAGGAACTCTACCCGCACAAAGAGAACGAAGATGATGAGCAAGCAACGCGCTTGAAGAAATCGAGTATGCTTCAAGCAGCGACGGAGGCAGCACTCGATCAGCATTTCGAAGCGCAGGCCAGCACATCGGAGGTCGTCCGAACCAAGCCAGAAAGCGAAGATATCAAAGATATCCGGATTGGCCGCAAGGTGATATCTCGTGAACAGCAGAAGCACCTTCGGGAGCAGCAAGCGCGGCGAATGAAGGGCCTAGGTAGCGATCGGAATCTGTATTTCATCTGGGTAAGTAGGACCGCTCATGGAATTGTCAGTATCACTTTGGAACCACTGCTAACGGTTGCTAGATTCCGCTCCTTCTGTTGGTCATCTGTGCTTGGATTCGGAGTTATGTCCCGGGCATCTGGGAAGGCTTTACCAGCGGCTATGAATTCGTCAAGGCTCAATATGCGCAGCGCGCCTTAGAAGTTGGCCATTGACATCTGTTTTACTTTTCCTCCTTTCCTTCATCTGTTTTGAGCTAGGGCGTTCTGTCCTCTGGGTCGGTAATACAAACGGGGCATGTCTTTTCATTTGTTAAAGAGCTATTGTTCCATAATGACGGGATATGACTGTTTTGATCTCTTTGTCTTGTTTCTGGTGAACCATGCTGCCCTCAACTATTCCTGTACAGATTCTTGTGTGTTTCCTTAGGCGATCTCTTTTCTCTACGGCTTTCTTTCACTTAATGAAGACCAAGTCACGTGTCCTGCAGAGGACCCATCCCCTATTGTTTTCCATACTGCGCATAGAGCTGAATATATCATTTACTATTGAGGGACTTTCTAATATTAACATTTGGATAGCCTAGTATTTCGTAGCAGCTTGGAAGCAGCCCCACCGTAACAGATGTCGGGGGAAGGTTAGGCGGAAGGAAGGCCACACGTGCGGAGAGAAAGGCGGTCTTGCCGTCCCCCGGCCAAAACAACCGCAATACCATCATCACCGCGGTGGCCGATATACTTAGCTCTCTGCCAATTCCCTCCCCTTACTGCGCATCTAGCTAGGAGTTTGGCTCCCCCTTTCTCGGCCAGTCAGGCGGCATGCCCTTTGCGAGTGGTCCCTTGACCCCCGAATAGTGCTCGGGCATCATGGACCCCTCACCCCAGGCGGGCTCCAGCAGTGTCACCGGTAAGGATATCCACCCCCCGATGGCTTTCCGAATGGCATTCTGGGGTACATGTTGCTCACTTCTTCGATTTGATTCCCAGTCGAGTATACTGATCCCTCCGGTCTCTTCCCCACTGTTCAGTCCATCCTTGCAGACAAGCTTCCTCTGAAGAACCTCCACTGGAAGTCCCCAACCCGCCCCGTTCGATCCATCGAGTCCCTCCGTATCGGCTTCGTCCCTGCCCAGCATGAATCGGACGAGCGCAAGCCGTCTACCGACACGGCCAGTGCCACCGTGACGCACCGGCGACACCAGATCCCAGGCCTACGCCAGACCCCCTACTTGAAGATTTACTTGCTCCGCTGTGACGACAACGATACCTACAAGGCTACGGCGCGGAAGGCACTGCGGGATTGGATTAAATCCCACTCCACAACCTCCTCATCCAGCGCAACGTCCACTAGCCAGGAGAAGCACGATGCTTTCGACTGGCTCATTGTACATGTGGTGCAGGACGGAGAGGGGGCGGAAAAGTCCGCCCCTTCTAAATGGGGTCGCACAACCACCACAGTCCTTGAGAAGGTCAAGGCCGACTTCAACGGAACTTCCAAGTCCTCCACCATAGATCGCGTGGCTCAGCTACGCCTCCCTAAGCAGGGTAGTAATGCGAAGCCACCTGAGCTGGCCGATCAGATCGAAGACTTGGTTGAGAAGCTGAAGAACGCAATTCTGGCATCCTTTGACCTTCGCGTCGCGCAGTATGAGGAGGACATCAAAGAGAAAGACTCGCAGCGCAGCTTGCCTGGTTGGAATTTCTGTACCTTTTTCATACTCAAGGAGGGTCTAGCTAGGGGCTTCGAAAATGTGGGGTTGTTCGAGGACGCGCTGCTCGGCTACGATGAACTTGCGGTCGGCTTGGACACCGCGATACAAGAACAGCTTGAAGGAACTGGAGATCAACATGGAGGTGCATTTCTGACTTACAGCAAGGACTGGAAAGACAAGGCAAAATCGGCTCTGGAGTCTGGCGGAGAAGTAGCACGCAAGGACGAGGGCGAGGGAGATGATGAGCCAGAACCAGTTCCGGAAATTGCAATGGATGACTTTCCCATATCTGCAACAAAAAAGCCGTATCGGGAGATGATACTGGCCAGTGATATCTCCATCTTTGATTTCCGCACTTATGTCTTCTCAAGACAACTGACATTACTGCTTAGGGCGGCAAAGGCTCATTCCTTACTCAGTAAGGAAGCAGAAGCAGATCCACAGTCGTCCAAGAAAGACAGGAAGCCGGAAAATCTACTGCTTCTCTCCGAAGCTTGCCAGAGGGCAACCGAATTCATTAGTCTTGCGGCGCGGACACTAAGGTTCGACCTTGAGACGGGACTGGTAGATGTCGAGGATACTAGAAAGTCAGAGGTGGTGAACAATATTGTATCATCATGGGCCTATGCTGCTGCCTCCCAGGTGCTTTCTCAGACCTTTACTCCCGCCCTTACACTTCCAGAGTCCTCACTGCATGCTGTCAACAAGCCAGCAGACAATGTTACGCATGCTGAGGGCCACCCACAGCTTCCCAGGCGCTCAAGTTCGCTTGCGACTCCTACAGCTACGCCTCAGCCCCGGCGTATGACAACCTCGGGCATTTTGCCTCCAGATGCCCTTTCGTCTGTCCATGCACGACCGGGCTTTGAGGGCCCCAAGCTTACGCCCAAGACCGGTTCCGAGCAGTTAGCTTCTGGAAGAGCGGAGTTGCTCCTGATGGCTCGTCGACTCTTGGAGGAGATATCTGCAAGATTTGGCTGGAAGGAGACTTGGAACGATCTCCATCTTCTGTTCAATGATCGAGGATCGGATGCTGATGATATGGCTGAAGTATCGCTTGATGACGAGACTCCACAGACAGCAGATAAGTTTGGGGAAATCAATCTTCTGTCTGGTATCGATCTCCCTGGCTTGAAGCTAGCTCTTCAGTCCAGAAAGGCTTTCCGTGTGCATTATGAAGATCTCACAGATCAGATGTACCGTCACCACATCGCTGCAAATCGGACGTACTCAACCCAGGCCGCACTTGCTGACATGGCCCTCATACGCTACAGACAGAGCGACTATGGGGCGGCAGCGTCTTATTTCCATCACATTGCTCCGTTTTATGGCAGTAAGAACTGGATTGTGCTAGAGGGAATTATGTTAGAAATGTACACCCGGTGTCTGAAAGAGCTTAACCGCAGTGAAGAATACGTCCGGGTGATCCTCCGTCTTCTCGCAAAGTTTGCCAGTTATACAGAGTCCAACCTGTCAAAGCGGCAGAAGACGCTAGATGCGTCGCATATCTTTGCGGAAAATGCGTTGATTTCCGAGTACGTTGAGGAGCTGTTCAAGGCATCAGGTTCCCTTCAGAAAGAAGTCATAGCCCCCATGACTGATTTCTTTGCGGATATCAACGTCAAGCCTGCAATATTACACTATGAGGACAAGGATGGGTTCCAGCTTCAACTGTACCTACGCTTTTGTTTGGGAAAGCGCATTGATGTTGATTCTATCAAGCTGCGATTGGTGGGTGCGCACAATGCTCAGAGTAATGAGCATTGGCTAGAGGCTCCTATCAAAATGACCATCAAGTCGTCGTCGACGAGGGTGTTGGTCGACTCACCGGTGAGTACAGTTCGCAGCTATTTGTGCTGTTGCTTTCTTGACAGATACTGACTATATTAGATAACACTGCAAGGTAAATATTTCGTGGACCGCATTGAAATGCGAGCGAAGAACATTGTTTTCACTTTTGGTGGCGGGAAGCATGCGTCCCTGCCAGTGGGATTCAGGGAGGCAGAGGCCGAGGAAGAGGATAGTCGGCCATTCATTTACTGTTTTCCGCCACCGGACGGCCTCCAGGCAAAGATCGTATCACCGCACTTTGTCAATCTGGAGGAATTACGAACACTAGAGCTGGAATTCAGTAGTGGATGGAATGACATCAAGAGCGGGACTCTTCGAGTGAGACCTGCCACTGCTGGTCTTCGATTGAGAACGACCGAAACCGAACTGGTAGAGGGTGACATCAAGATCGAAGCCCATAATGACTCGGGGAACATTGAGTTCACTCAGTTGAAACCCAACTCGTTCGTTCGGTTCCGGATCCCTTACACGGTCGAGGAACACCACCCGATGCTCTCTGCAAGGGCCGAAGTGTCATACGAGACAGAGAAGGGGCGGTTTACTTACTCCTCGGTGCACAACATCATTTCAGGCTTGCCGATCAGTGTCAACGTGCAGGATGTCTTCAAGGATAGTGTCCTATTCTCACGGTTTACCATCAGTCCGGCTATGCTGATACCGCTCCGGATCTTAAAGTGCCAAATCCCAAGCTCAGACATCTATGAGGTGCAGTCGAGTATTGGCGACTCTGTGGCACTGAATGTATTTGCCAAACAACCTGCATCTCTTCTCTACAAGATTCGACAGCGGCCAGACAGCGTTCCCACTCCGGGAGCAAGACGGTCCCTGCGACTAAGCGTCGATTTTACTTGCGTGGACGATGAATGCCTCTATGCAGTCGAGCAGACATTCAAGTCAAGCATTGCAGCTAGCGAGTTTCATCAGTACACAAGTTTGCTCACATCCCACATTGTTGAGACGACCCGCTCACAGCTATCGACTTCCGAAATGGAAGTTGTCGGCCTCGTCCGAGAGGTGGAAACACTGCAGTTTGCGAATGCCCACTGGGAGACATTGCTGAGTGCGTTGAAGGAGCCAATGGATGGACTGAAGGCCTGGCTTATGGACTGGCATAAGGTAAGTCACCCGTACATCCCACTGACGGCCCCCTTGCTTCTCTAGTCTGACCCAAATAGAATCACCCGGTCATCTGCCTTCCAGACTCTCCAGCCGTACGCAGCAGACACATCGTCATCCCCGTTGACATCCCAGAGATTCAAGTTGTTCACACAGCCGAGCTCCGCCTCACCAATCTGGCACAGCAGCCTCCCCATGCGGCAGTTGGACAGATGATTGCTGCAGAACTCAGCATACGTCATACACGACGGTGGTGCTCACCGGAGCATCGCGAGAACGCAGGCGGTCCGCTTGACTTCTCGTACGAGATCCACGCAAATCCCGAAACATGGCTCGTTGGCGGGCGACGCCGCGGAAACTTCACCGCCGAAGAAGGCGAGACCAAGACCTTTGCGATCATGCTACTCCCGCAGAAAGCCGGACACCTCCTTCTTCCGGGTTTAGAAATCAGGTCCTTTGTGCCACCATCCCCAACATCCTCATCGTCTCTGCCCCAGCCGCAGTCTCAATCTTCGACGACAGCGACCGGGGCCCAGA